CGTTGACCTGGAAACTCTTCCTATATACCTCCCCACCCATTCTTGCAGGAGGGATGGAGGCAAACACTACTTGCGCTCCAGACTCCCTAACTAGCCGTCTCAGGGCCCTGAAGTCACTCTTCATTGCCCTTACATTTCTTGTAATAATTTCATCACTGCCAACCTGAAAAATCAGCAGTGGATAGTAATCAGAGGAACCCACAAGATTAGGGAGTTTCCTTTTAACATCTCTAATCCAAGCCCCAGGGAGGCAGCAGACCTCCCTGTGGGATGGGTCCGGTCGACAGATGGGCCCTAAGAAGGATGTTGGGTATGGAAGACCCAACATGCACACTCCACAGGTTTTGAGGGGTTTGAGTTTCTTCAGCCTAGTTGTGGTGTGAACTCATGGACTGCATGCCTGCTAGTGGTTGGAGCATGAGTTATGTTTCAAGGGCACATCTTCATTTGTAAGTAATCTAGTTTGTGTGCTTTGAAACTATTCCCTGGTGTGAACTGAAGCATAGCTTGTTTGCCATCCCTTTAAATGGACTTCTGGATCTGACTTGAAGTGCTGATGTAGATGTGAACCAATGGTGGGACACGGAGTCAGAGATCTCTCTCTGGAAAGTAGTACAAATTGACCCGATGACCTTACAGAGTACAAGAGAGAAAAAAGATGAGGGGTACACCCTTGCTGCTTTTCTAAGTGACTGTTGCTTCTTTACTCTTTATTGATCTGTTAAAGGCAAATAATGGTGCAGCTATAGTATCAGGAGGGGCCTTACCAAGTTACCGTGTTTAGGACCAGCATTATTGCTTTGCCTTGTTCCCTCCTGAGCTATGCATAAGATCCAGCCAGTAGGGTGGGGGGCTCTGGCCATGGGGAGAAAAACCAACATGACAACAGAGCATCTCTCACTAGATTCAGGCATCTCTCAGACTGTTCTGCCTGCACTTGCATATCACAAGGATAAGACTCCAATTCTGCAGGAGCTGACAGACCTGCCTTGGTTGACTAATGTTTCTTTGTGTAGCAGAAGGCATCATCAACACCTATTCCCCCCACCCTTTTGTTGGAGAAAAGAGCAGTTCTTACTGTTTTACTTGACTTCCTCCCCTGAATTTGGGGTGGGGTAGGAGGAATATGAGATCAAGTCTTTCCTGTTCCGTGCCTGCATCATCGTATCTTAGCAATTGAAGTGAAGTACATTTCACAAATAAAGGAATTTTTATTTTGTAACTTCAGCATTATTGATTTTTAGTTCAGTTATGGATTATGATTTTGTTGCTTCAAGATCCTGAACAGATTTTGATTTGTGGTGGATTAAAAGGGTAGATAATAACCCAATCACTATAACGTACAGCAGGCAGTTGAGGGTGAGAGAACAGAGCAAACAGATGAGCCTGGAGATCAGCCAGGGAACGTGTCCTGCTGTTTCTCCTTGTGGGACTACAGCAGAGCCCTGGATTGATGCCATCATGAGAAGAAGTGTATTAGAGTATGTAGCTTTGTACAAAGTGTTTACTGCCAAATAAAGATTACAGACATGCCTGAAGTACCAAGAAAGTGATGTGCCTGTAACCGAGAAAAATAACCATACTTCCAAAATGAGAAAATAGGCTTAGGGAAAAAGAAGTTACTCCTCCTTTCAGTTACTAAAGCATCAGTAGTACTTTCAATTATTTAATAGTAAATGTTAGACTACTGCAGTAACATTATTGAGAAAAATACTTGCATTTATACAAAGTCTGACTTTAAAGGATTTACAGGTGGCTTGTTTGGGTCTTGCACTGGTGCAAGAGAACAATCAAGAAACGGACAATATCTGTTCTGTGACAGACTGATCAATCGGAGGATTCAGAATGTGCTGCTGGGGGATGCAGTTAGAACTCTGATCCTCTGCTCAAGAACCTCTGGAAGTGTTCTCTTCTGATTTTGGCTAAAGATGGGATGAAGACAGAATTGGCCACTACCAGGCTTTTGTACATGTCTGCTAAACTTTCCCCAGAAATAGCCATAAAAGCAAAAAAATGCTGGACATTGTGGTAGAGACTTGTGGTGGATAGGAGAAGTCTGTGCCTCTATGTTTAGTTCTTCTTAACAGGATAAAGTGAGATAATACTCCCTGGTCATTGCCCTGCTGCAAAATATGCTTTACTTGAAAATATTGTGCTGTTGTCTCTTCAGAGAACGTTTTTGTATATGTCCAGAAAAAGAAGCCACAAGACTGGAAAACCATGTTTCAGCAGTAAGCAGCAATCTTCTGTCAGACTACCTCTATACATCTCTAACTGTAACCACAGAGCATGTTGTTAGTGCTTGTTATTCCTGCTGCTAGCAATTACTTCATTGCAAGAGCCTCTCCAAAGATTGTCTATCCTGAGATACCTCTCCAAAATACTGAACTTGGGATTCATATGCAGAGAACACACAGAGTACAAATGAGAATTATGTAGTATGTGCTTTGTGCTGTCAGAATGTATTACTTGGGGTTTATCCAGGCTAGGTTTATGATTGCCATATGTGAACAAAAAGGTGCACATGAAGTTGCTTTCCAAGGATAGTAAACAATGGCAGATAAGGTTTGTGTTGTTCTGTTTCATGACTAACTTAAGGATTTGAAGACTGTAGGAGACCAGATTTTAGATAAATGATTTTTGCCAGGTGACCAGCCAAAATGTGGCATGCCAGGGTGCCAAGTGTCTAGCCATACTAGAAAATCAAGTGAGGTGGGGAAGGACATGATCAGAAAGGCAATATACAACTTTAATGGGAGTATGACAAAAAACAAAGTGATATATTTCTTCGCAGTAACACTGTATTATGACTAGCCTTCTTTCATAAGAATTTTGCTACTTTCATATGGAAAAAACTTGATTAAACAGTAATGTGTGGGTTGTTTGGGGTTTTCTAGCAAGGTTTTTTATTTGTGTTATTTTTTAAAGAAAAAATATTACAAAGAGAGATGTGCATGACTGTTCCTCCTTGGATTTTTTAAAAAGTAAAATAGTTACAATACAAAGGCAACATCCTTTCTCCAGTGACTGTTTTCTCACTCTACTACACTATACTCCATTATTCAAAAATCTGCTAATGTTAAAATAAATTAGTAGTAGTGTTTGATTGAAGGCAGAATTTCTTCTCATGTTATGGTAACTATATAGCTGCAGAGAGGAAATACAGAAAGGACTTAAAAACTTTGTGAAGAAGTAATTTTGTCTTTTTCCCTTGGGGCAGAACTCATGCTTCCTGACTTGTGTATGGCTAAGGACATGGCTTTTTCAAACTTGTGCATGTTACTGGATTATACTGTCTATTTTGTCATTCTTAGCCAGGAAGTTATGTTATTGATTTATTTTCTATTACAAATGTAAAGAAGCAAAAGTAGTGTAAAACTTTTGCAGAAGTTGATTTAAATGTTACAGACAAATAAGTGTTTATTCCAGCCTGTCTTGTACTGTCTTATCACTCATTAGTTGGAAAAAAGGCCAGACCAAGCAGTCTGCCTTGACAGTAGTGCTGGCTCTGAACAGCATAGTGTTGTATCATGCCATACATCATCTTTTGCCTTTTTAATGAATGGCAATAAGACTAGTACCACTTGTAATATAGGAGGAAAGTGGCAAATGTGATTATTTTTTTCATCCCTCTGTCAGGCAATAGCCTTCTATAGTAGGAAGGAAGGGAATCTGATTTGAAAGAGTCATTCATGCTGTTGGTTTATTGTTCATGCTTCAGGGTTTGGTTTTAGTCAGGTTTTGCTTTTGGCATGCTGGCCTTTTTCAAGGCTCCTTGACGCATGCATGGGATAAATTAATGTGTATATTTTATCCAGTCTGTTGTCTACAGACTTAAAAAGCTTTGAGTACTATTATTGTTTACTACTTGCTCAGTTTAAGATTTACTTGGGAAATTATGGAAGTGATTGTAGACTATGTGGAGTACTGTATTAGAAATATTGATTACGTGACTATTTATATGTTCTAGGTGGTCCCAATGGAGTATATGTAAAAAAAAAAACACTCCCAAAAAACCCCCCCAAACCCAAAAACAAACAAGAAATAATCGCAAGACTAAAGCAACAGTTGTGAATAGTCATCCATTAACAGTGCCACTAACATTTTTGGAAACGAGGCTATGATAACTTCCTTCAACATCATTGCTGTTTTGGGACTATTTAAAGAAACAAAGGGGATATGAACAGGCATAAGGATGGGGAATTTAATTCTACAAATAAGGAGGTGCAAAGGTAAATGTCTGTATTGTTGCTTTTCAAGACACAGCTTCATTCAGGAGTTAGCAGGAAAAGCAGTACTCCAAAGCACTTAGCCTAAAGGAAACATATGGAGAAATCTCTGCTATACTAGCATGCTTTGCAGTGACCTATGACACTGGGGAGGTGAATGAAGAAACAGTGATACTTCAGCTATTTTGCTGCCAAAGGGGTTTAAGAAACTGAGTGTTCCAGTGCGAACTCACTGAAATAAGGAAGACTTTGTACTTGCTTCTTTATATGACCCATGTGTTCAACATAAGCCACCTTCTGGTTAAAATGTGTTCAAAAACATACAGTAGTTCTCAGGATTACTGGTTTGACAACCCCATCTCTGCTTCCAACTGCACAGTGGCATTGCAAACAGACTGCGCTGACTGTCATATCTAAACCACAGTATATGTAGTTTACTGTATCATAGGTGTAACCCTAAGTTAGTGCTTAGGTTGTCTTAGGTCCTTCTAAGAAAGTGAACATAATTTTCGAAGTTTTCTTGCTAACTGATAAGTCTCTTTGTACTACTTAATTTCTATGATGAATTTTTGGCTCTATAGATGCCTGAAGTTGAATTGGCCAGGTATCTGTTTTGATAAAACATGGTGTAAAATTCGTTGTTGCAAGCTGCTGCAACCAAAGACCTCCCCTATTATTTCTGCTAAGAAAAATGCAAGCAGAATTTATACAACTGAATGCTGAAGTACTTGTTATCCCTTGGCATTGTTGTTTTGTTTTGTTTTTCCCCAGGGAGTGCTGTCCAATATCTCCTCCATCACTGACCTGGGAGGCTTTGATCCAGTTTGGCTCTTCCTAGTGGTAGGAGGAGTTATGTTCATTTTGGGATTTGCAGGATGCATTGGAGCTCTGCGAGAGAATACCTTTCTTCTCAAATTTGTAAGTAGCCTTTGCAACCGTGACATTTATCAGTTGCATGGCACAAGTAATGTTCTCTGTTCCTGCTTAACTGTGTAAAGATATTAAAATGTCTTTTGGGGAGCAGAAGGTGTTATCTGATGTGATTGAACTGTTCTGTTAATATTTAATAGCTCTTCAGTCTCTGTTGCTTACTGTTAGGTTTTTTTTAAGGTTTGAAACTATAGATGGTAAGAGGCAACGTGGAACTACTGCTTTTCATATGCACGTAACATTTTGTTTTCCTGTCATGGAGAGAAGTTTCTGCTAAGAGTCTGCATGTTGAACTTTGACTTCATGACAAGCTGACTATGAAATAGGAGGAATGTAAATACACCAATGAGTGTGACCTGTGTGATATCTGCTGTGCAAGTGCCCCTTATGGTACAGGAGAGATAGGACTGTTACAAGAGGTTACTTGGTGATATCTTCAGTTCTGTACTGTTCAGCTAATCTGAAAAGCCTTTGTTACTTACTGTTGGTGCTGGGGCCTGAGAAGGGAGAAAGGGAGAAGAATGTGCCCAGGATGAAGAAAATAAGGTGAAGAAAGTAAGAGTTGTCTTTTTGAGCTCTGGGCTGGACCGTTAGTTGGGGAGGGAGCTGCTGATACACAAACGTACCTCAGTATTCAAATCACGTTTAGCTAAGTAGCCTGGTTCTCTTTTTAGAAAGCCCTCCTTGTGTGAGCTTTGAAGATGAAGATAACAGTATCATGTTTCATTTTAGATAAATTTAACATTTATAATAAAAATTTAAGATTTGTTTCTCTACCATAACTTCTAGAGGTGGGCACAGCCTGGGTTGTAGTTGCGTCCTCATAACCATTAACTGTTAATATATACCTGAAAATGCATTCAGTGAAGCAACTACCTTCGAGTGACATATTTGGCTTCCACAGACACGCTGTATAAGGGGAGGAGGCAGTTGTGAGTTACAGTTCTTGAGGCATTTACAAAGCAGCTTTGGACAATTCTAGTTTGATCTTGTCTTACTTTAAAAAAAAAAGGGGGAGAGGGAGCTATAGTAATGCTTTTTTTTCTTTGCTTTCTTGCTTCTCTTAGCTTCCCTAAAATGAACTCATCTGCTGTAAGAGAAATAGCTTCCTATACAACAGCTGCAGGAGAAATTAAAAATTAATATGAGCAAACAGAGATAGCATACTAAAATGAAATTCAAAGGCGCAGTTGCAAAAGGAGTGGCCTTCCAGTATATGAGGGACCTTGTGTGTTTTAGAACAGTGTAGACTCAGTGGAGATGCTTAAGAAAGTGGCAGATCATTAGTAATGCCTTTGGCATCCGTTGCATTTGCATTAATCACAGCAACCTCATTTGGTTTTAATGTGGATATGAGTCATTCCATAGGCATTCCTCTCTGACTTAGTCATTAATTAATTTCTGCTGTTACCAATTTTTGCTTTGTCCACTTAGGCAAAGCTTTACCAATGAGAGTGTCTAAAGAAAAAGTTACTTGGAAAGAATTTTGGTAACACTATTGGTTGTTTATGCCTTTGAAAATGTAAGTGCCTACATAGAAATTTAAGATGAGTTTTCAGAGGGCCCTACAGGTGGTGAGTAGCCTTCTTTGTTGAAGTTTACAGTGAATCCTCTTGCACCCCATTAAAAATCCCCTTGAAGTGTCCAAAGTTTGAATTTGTTGACAGTTTAATAATTGATTAGAATAGAATTAGGATTCCTGTCTACAGGAATTAAAAATGAAGTATTTTACATTTAAAATTCCCTATGTGCTGGAATAGCTTTAACTTGCACTGGAACATCTAAAGCCGTAACACTGGGCATATTTTTGAGCCTTGAAAAATAAGTTATTGGTCATAACGCAAAATAATATTAACCTTTTTGTTTTTCTTCTTAGTTTTCTGTGTTTCTTGGAATTATTTTCTTCTTGGAGCTCACTGCTGGTGTTCTAGCATTTGTTTTCAAAGACTGGATAAAGGACCAGCTGTATTTCTTTATAAACAACAATATCAGAGCTTATCGAGATGACATTGATTTGCAAAACCTCATAGACTTCACACAGGAATATGTAAGTTGAACTATGTTAATTTTTTGGTAAAGCTTTACCTAATACTTTTATTTTTTACTTCCTATCTGTTTAGTTTCTTCAAGGAACAACAGAAATATTCTAGTATATAATACTTCTGAGTGCATATATATATGTATTTCTCTTTAGAGAACTTCTACATGCAGCACCTGTGAAAAGCAGGTTATTCATTGATGTATGACTGAGCAAAATAAGGTGGAGAGGAGCTTACTTAGGCTTGAAGACTCAGAAATAGTGTTCCAAATCTACAAGTTAACCATCAGTGCCTTGTGTTGGATATTTTTTTTATCATATTCCATATGTGTATGGAGATATTTTAGGGTTCTTGGGGGAAGGATGTTAGTATATTTCATTGTAGGAACCATTATATCTGTTAAAAAAAAAGTTTTCTAAGCTTATTTTGCTTCTGAGGTGAATGCTGGTGTAGTTGTAGCAATGTTAAGAGGTGCTACATCACACTGCAGAGTGGCGGATGTTTGGCTGGTCCAAGTGAAACTACAATGTTATTTCTTTTTAAATAGACTTAATGCAACTAGCCTAAAGTGGGCAACATAAAGTTCACATAGGAAGTCTTGAAATGATGTAACAGCTGCACTTCAGAGGGAAGGGTGAAGCCAGAGATGCAAATGCTTGTCTGGGTTAAGCTCTGTCAATTTATCACTGTGCTTAAAGGAGTCTTTTTATAACTTTTGCATACAAGTTATTTTTCCTATACCTTCTTGCTCCAATATTCAATCCTGGCCTGTGTTAATGAACTCCTCTTTGAATTTGAACCATGTATAGTGAACATGGTTATGTGTTCATTGAAGTAATATTTAGTAATTTTTTACATTCTGCAGTTAAAACATTTAATTCGGCATTTCATTCAATGTTTGATTCACTTCTATATGCCTTGGGGGAAAAATGACAAGTGAGTAAATAACAAGATGTGGATCCTTGTGCTGGTTTGAATCTTGTCCAGGTAAGAAGGGAGAAGGTCAGAAGTCACCACATTCCAAAAGTAGTGATCCAATTGTATACAACCAAAAAAAGCTACAATCCAGTTTTGCAGCCACTGGATAAAGCTTGCTCTCCTATCTGGATTAGTAGAGTTTGCAGATAAATTGGAGACAGCATCAATCTGGAGAGCAAAGTACTTCTTCAGCTAGTAGACATAATGCTTGAAGACAACACGTTCAGGTATTTCAGAGGGAGCTGTGCTACATCTGGAAGGAGAGAATTGCAATTTCAGTGCTTATAAAAATGTGGTTTGTTTGGGTTTTTTAGTATTTTTTTTTTAATTGACACAGTGCTCCTGTGATTTCCAGTCCAGAGCCTCAGCCTGCTATTTGGCTAATTTACTTCTGAAGGAGTCTACCTTCAGCAAGGATGTTACTTTGTACAGTGTATGAGGCTCAGGAAACAGTGTGGTCATACTGTCTGATATACAGCCAGACAAAGATTCTCCCAAACTAGCAAAAGCAGTAGCTATATCAATGTAGGCTTTGGAGCTGGTTTGTTTTGTTGAAAATCCTGGGCCCATAATAGTGGACAGGATGATGTTCTCCTGGCTCTTACTGTCCCTGGGGCCTGAGCTTGTAGGCCTGTGCAACTACGGTGCTTTGAGTAGGCTTATCAGTTCACTCCACGGGTTTCTCTCCAGAGTGCAGCACTGCAGGATGTGAACATAACTTTAATCACATTTTAATTTTAGAACAATTTACAGGCTTGGAATGGCCTTTAAAAACAAAAAGCAAACAAACAAAAACCCAACAAAGCAAAACAAAACAAACCCCCCACAAAACACAAAACAAAACCCAAACCCAAAGCAGCTTCAGTGAAACCAGAGGGAATCTCAGATTTTGGTTTGAAAGCTAGAAGGCAACAGGCAGTGATACATGCTGCTAATGCTGATATTTGTTCTCTTAAGTCAAGAAGCTCTCCTTTTTTTGTTCTAGTGGCAGTGCTGTGGGGCTTTTGGAGCTGATGACTGGAACCTTAATATTTACTTCAATTGCACAGATTCCAATGCAAGTCGGGAGCGCTGTGGTGTGCCATTCTCTTGCTGCACTAAAGATCCTGCCGTAAGTGACATCAGTCTGCTGTTCCAATTTTAAATCACTCTATAAGATATTTTTGTTTTCCTGGAAATCATGCATGATCATTACCTTCTTATCGACCTGTACTTTTTTTTTTTTTTGTGCTTGCAGCTCAGCTTAACCACTAACTTTCCTGCATTCAGCAAAAATCCTGAGCTAACTAAAGTATTCATTGTATGTTATTTGCTGCTTTTCATTAGAATGAGAGAACCTTGGGCTTGGCTGGACATACATATTAATTTTAGCACGTATAAAAAGCAGAAGCCTTATTGAGTTGAAGGATATGAGTTTTCAGTTCAACGTTGTCAGGATATTTCATTTGCTGCCTTAAAGAACAATAACTCAGATCAGACACTGTAAAACAGGTATTACTCATTATTTAATTTAGTGTCCAAGGGCTGTAGCCAGTTTGACTCAGTTTGCTCTAGGTATGGTGATGAATGACAGGCTGTGCCCTGAAGAACTGATATGTTTGCATTAGAATCCTAAGTCTCATCTATGAACATCTTTACATGCCCTTTTTTCCCCTCCTTTAAAATTACTGCTTGCCCTATGGTCACCTGAAATCAGACTTAAAAGGTCAGAAATTGAGGGAACAGGTTTTTTTGTAAATTTTCATGTCTTTTTAAATAGTTATCATTCTGGATCATCAAGCAGAAAATACTGGGGCTGTGCATTACTAGTACAGACACGATCAAGAATGAAGGGTAAAGTGTAGGGTAGCAGTTCACTGACAGTGAAAGGCTTGCAATAGGGAAGGGTGTGTGCCTGGAAACTTACGTGACAAACACTGCATACATTTGACTTTCATGTAGCTTAAAAGAAGCAGCTTGAGTGTGCTTGTATTATCTAGTAGTTTAAACTGTGGCTTTTTCTCCACCTGGAGTGCCTTATAGTTCCTTTAACGTAGACGTCTGTAGCACTGACTGAAGTTAGGCAAGTTGCCAGCAGGCACCTCAAGTGCTTCCTGTCTTGCTAATGCAATGGAGTTGCTGCTCCCTGCATCTAGTCACTACTGCTGCTCTCCTCCTTTTCTGATAAGAAGACACTGTCACTTGCACAAGCTGCATTCAGGTTCCTCTACAGTGAGCATGTCTTCACAGTAGTTTGAATCTTTCTCACAAACATTGCAGAAAATGTTTAATGAAATATTAAACCGAAATGGAAAGTAGGTTAGACTCAAGCATTGCATTATGTTTCAGATTCCCCCTACTGTTTGCCTAGCTGCCCACTCACCCACACAGGTCATCACAACCCAGTTTTAAAAATACAGTTGTTACAAAACCAAAGCAGTGACAGCAGTACAACGTCATTCTATAAATACATGCTAAAGTTAGCTCTTTTTGTCTATGTAGTTCTGCAGTTTTGTAGGGCAACCAGAAATGTTAAGATAAGTCTCATTCTTGTTCACTGAGGGGAAGCAACATGCTTGATTGGCTTTAAAATAAAGACTAAAAATAGTAATATTTAAAAATATTGGAAGTCATGCATATAATGAAGATAATTTTAACTGAGCTGTGACTGCTTCAATTGCAGTGATAAACAAGTTTATTCTGTGGGAAAGCAAATTTGTCCTTTTTGGAATTAGGATGCAATATTGGGCTGATGCAAAAAGTTACGTGAATGCTTTACTGAGCATTTACTGAGACTTTTAGTTTAGCTCAGATCTGTTTAAGGAAGGTCAAAATAAGTTTCCTTTGAAATTAATTTCAACTCCTGTAGTTCACTTTGCTGTGGTTGAGTAGGTTCAAATGTTCCAAATTCTTTCACAGACAGGGCCTAGCAAAGTTGGTTTATTTCCATTTCATTCTTCATGCTTTCTTTCAGTTAAAAGGTTCCAAGGCAGAAGGCAGTGATGATAAAGCAAATAGGCTTTCAGTACAAAGAAGAAAGCTTAAAATCCCTCTGCTGGAATCTTACCTACTTTTACAGCCTTGATGTGTGTGGTGTGCTTCTGTTTTAGGTCCTGAGAAAGAAGTGTTCGTCTCGTTAAAAGATACAAATTGCTCAAATCTCAAAAGTCCATTGAGTGAATCCAACTTGCACAACTGATAGGATATATTCCTGTAAATGAGAAAATGCTTAGAAGAACTTTAACTGATGATAGGAGGAGATAGCAGCCATACAGAAAAGCTACTTAAAAACTCTTTTCTCTGCTGGCTGCCTTTCTCACTTCTCACAATTTGATTAAGTTGTGGGGTTCAGTGCACCTGGCTAAGATTGACTGCTTTTCTCACTTCTGTAATTCCTTCTTCTGCTCACTGTTACTATATGAGCCAGTAACTGAAAATTTTGCTGCCATTTTGGCTGACACCAAAAGTGGTTGCTTCATTTTATTGCTCTGAAATAACTATACAGAGTAAATGCAGCTTCAGCTTCCAGTGAGTAGCACTTGCTCACTAGGAAGAGTGTGCTGTAGTCTGTTTTATTGCCTGTGCTTTGGGAGCGCTCAAAGCAGAGGCAGTAGGAAAAAAACAAACGACCCTCCTTGCCCATTGCTGTGGAGGTTCTGTAAGAAAGAATGGGTGGTAGGAACACATTACCCCATCTCCTCTTTTTCCTTCTTAGCTTTTGTGAAGAAACTAGGCACTATATGTATTTCTACAGAAATCCTCTGTAAGAACTTGCAGCTTCTGCAACAGAACTGCCCCTTCTCGTATCTTCATGCTGCACAGACTGAACCCTGACAATGTGAACAATTGTCTTGGAATACTTTTCAGTATAAATAAATCCATTTCAGCAGAAGGTACTTTGACTTACTATAGATATTCCCTAATCCCTTTACTTTCACTTTTGAATGCTTGCATCTGGAGCATGGAATTCACCCAATTGAAGGGCCAGTTTTCCCAGCTTGCTGCCTTAAGAGTTGAAAATATTTTTTTACCATCTGCTTTTGTTTGTTGCAAGTAATAAATAGCACTGAATGGAAGAGGAAGGGATTTTTTAAAAAAGCAGTATGTTAGGGTGATTCTTATTATGTTCAGGAGCAACTGTGGGGAGCTGGGAGAGGGTGTTTGGAAGACAGTTCACTGATTGCCTCTCTTTTGTCTCTCTTCTAGGAAGATGTTATTAATACTCAGTGTGGCTATGATGCAAGGCAAAAACCAGTAAGCTTTTTTTTTTAATGTGGTATCTCAAAGATCTGAATCCTTCTTACAAAAGCAGGTTATTCTACTGATGGGATGGTTAAGTAAAATTATCTGTGTTTTCTTCCCTCTTCTCCTTGGCAGGAGGTTGATCAGCAGATTGTTATCTATACTAAAGGCTGCGTCCCTCAGTTTGAAAAATGGTTGCAGGACAATCTTACCATAGTTGCTGGTATATTCATTGGGATAGCATTACTGCAGGTAAGTGTCATGTTTGCTATAATGAGTTACACTGAAGAACAACTGATAAATATATAAGGGGGAACTAGAAATAAAGTATTGGTTTCACTTACAAATATAATGTCTGTAGGTTTTATTGAGGAGTGTTATGCATGAGTCTTTCTTTCTTTTAAGTAGTATTTAATTTGTTAATTTGATTTCTAATTTTCTGTTGCCTTTTTCATATAAAAATTCTGTATAACTTAAGGAGTTTACTTGTGTGAAAAGAGTTGTCTGACTCCTAATAAACTATTATCTTTTCCAGATATTTGGGATATGCTTAGCCCAGAACTTGGTTAGTGACATTGAGGCTGTCAGAGCCAGCTGGTAAAACTGCTGATGTAACCACAACAAGACACTGGACAGCTGAAACCCTCTGAAACCTCCAGTGTGTCACTCCGACACCAAGCTGTATGGACATGAGTGACAGGGAAGCCTTCTCTCCCAAGTAGTTGCAAGTCTAAGTTCCTGATATTGCAGTGAACTCGTGTTTCTTTGGGGTGGAGGAGTGAAGAGTGGGCTATTTAAAATCTGCTGCTCACCGGCAGTTGTTTTTGTTTTAAACCATCAGTTTGAAAGCTATTGAGCTGTGAATCTCTACTGTATTCTTGATCTTAAGTAAAAAGTGGACACTTTTTAAATTGGTGTATTCAGTGGGAAATATTTTCATCGTTGTAGTCTGTGGATATGCTGTTTATTCTTTGTGTCATGAGCTCTTCAATAGCTGCCAAATACTCTCAAGATCATCTTTCTCCTCACCACTCTGTAAAGGAACAAACTTGTTTTCACAGCTAAACGTAGCTACAGGCTTAAACCCATCAAGCAGGAAGCAACTTTCTATGCATCTATTGTACAGTAAAAAAAATTGTTTTTAAAACAAGGGATTTTTTTTTATGAAAGCTTCTGACCCATCTCCCTGTAGTACTTCGAGGTTGTAATCAGCAAGCTCACAGGGAGAATTGCTTAATATTATGAACATCTTTCTTTCTCCACTCTTGTGTGAAGGGAAAGGAGTTTTATATTTGACAAACAAGGGTTGTAGAGCCTTTGGTTGCTGCCATACCTTAGGACATCTGTCTCTTAAGGCAAGGATGGGATATAACTGTATAAATGTATGAAAGCAGTGTGGATGTTGGGTCCAAGTGGATAATATTATTCAAAGAATGAATTATATATTAATTTAAAAAAATCAAAACATATGTATCTGATATGGCTAGATCTTTTGTTTCTCTGGAATTTAGTGTAACCTAATGTACTTAGGGATCTCACTAATAGTGCTTTGATATACTTGTGCAAAACTTCTTTTAAGAGAATTCCTTGGTCTATTCTTAGCTGAGGCTTTGGTCTTTCTTTTTTTCCCTATTTTCTATAATTCTTTTTACTTGCATGAGCTGTGGAGTAAGAGTCTGTGACACTCCAGTGCTTTAAATCTGTGCATATGTTTTAATGCTGTCTAATCCAAACTTATTTATTGGTAAATGCATGTGATTATGGGGAGATCATATCCCATTCCCATGGAACTTGGAGAGAACAGCTTTTGCCAGAGGAAATGCTTACCTCCAGTGAACAAGTCCCTGTTATGGAGGAGTCTCCCTTGTGTTGCTCTAAATGCAACAAAAAGCTTTCTTGAAGCAATGGAATAAAATTTTAAAAATAGGAATATGTACTAGGTTCAGCCAATACAGACTCTTTTGAATTGGACAAAAGAGAGTAGAATTTGGAATAAAGCACAAATAGTGGAAGAAGAATTAGATCAGACTCCATACAGCTTAGAGTTTTTGATTTATTCTTCTTCACTAATAATAGTGAACTGACAAACCTGAACGCGGCTTGGGTAGTTTTATTGCACTTTGTATAAATTTAGCTTGTTGTATGACCTTTCTCAGTATCTGCAGGACCAGTCTTGAAAGCTGTGAGCTCTTGGGTACTGCTTTGGTGGTAAAGGGTATGTAGCACCTCTCTGTAAGAGCTTAATGTTTTTCTGAGGCGAGTTTCGTAAAATGAAGTATGTGGAGTAGAAGAGGTGAAGCATTGCTTTCAAAGCTTCCCTGTACTGGGGAGAGGATAGAAGGCTGGTTTGACCTTTTCAGGTCCTGTGATTCTTAAACATATGAGTGTATGTACCCTTGCACATTTTGCCTTTCTGTGCTTTGACTGTAGTTTTTTTTCCCCCTCTGAAGGCTGGTGGTAGGCATATCAGCGCTCCCTAGATGACAGAGTCCTGTTGTCCTGTCTTTGAGCATTATCTCATCCTCTTCTGGTTAACTCCCACTGACTGGCTCTGAATCAGGCAGCCTCCATATACTTTGATACCTGCTGTTAAAGGCCAGCCATGACTCAGAGTAAGTTTTTAAAGCCTTTGAAAGCAATTATAATTCACTGTCCTTAATAAAGTTGGTTCCACCTCACCACAGTGTTACGTTTTTCTTAGCCACTTCTCAACTTGAGGAGTTACTGGTGGTTGTTTCCCCCCAAAGGGACACACCTTTTTGCCTGATCAGGACAGACAGCATCAGGACAGACAGATCATCAGCACCAGTGTAGCTGCACTGAGATATGGAGAAATCAGGGAAGTGTGTTGGAGGAAGTAACCCCTCCACTCAAGAGACTTGATTGTGACCCAGTACTTTGGTTTGGAGGAAAAGAAAGCCTACATTACAGAAACATTGGGTGTTGCCACTGGTCTTGAATACCACTGTTGCTGCTGTGAGCTTCTGAAGAGAACTTCATTTTTCTACTTGAATTTCTCCAGTTGTACTGTATTGGCCTTCTGTTTTGTCACATTGTTCTCTGAGTTCCAGTCTGCTGAATGTGCTGTTGGCAGTGTCAGACTGATAGGAAGGTAAATGCTCTGAGGTGAGCAAATCTTGTTCTCACTATTTGCATGTGTACACACAAATGTGCAACACTTCTGCTGAGTCCCAGAATGACTGTTCTTATAAAAACCACTAAATAACTTATTTTTCTAGAGCTTGTTTTTATTGCTGCAGATGCTGATCCTTCACCCTTCCCCACCCCCTAAAGATGCTCTTACTTTCCTCATTTCTGCAGTTTTTTGATGGATGCACACTGAATGTTCAGGATTAGCTGTCTGTAGTGCACATTTAAGTCCCACATTTTCTTTGTCTACAGATGGGTAAAATGTCCTAAAAATGCCCCATCATGAGCATCTTAGGTGTCCAGTTTGGAAAGCTTGTGGGAGGCCTTGGAAATCAATCTCTTGTCAAGAGCCTGCCAAATGCAAGCAAGCTTTCTTCCAGAAAAGTTTGTGAAAACTTCAGGTGAGCTGCAACTGGAGAACAACTACATGGGCTCATTTTCTAAAGCAATAAGATAGGGTAGGCAATATGACTTTTGGCAATTTGTAGCCTGCCTGGTGCAGTGGTGGATTAGATGTGAGTTCAGAGGTGGGTCTATCTTTAATGTGCAGTAGCTGTTCATAAATTTGTTGTCAGGCTCGTAGCCCTTGTGGAGTGTGAAACAGCTCTGTTTGCATATGGAATGGCGGCATCACTAACGAGAGCTCTGGTAGCTTCAGTAGTAGCCCCGGCATTTAAAGCTGTTTCCAGATTCCCCACTGAGTCCTGCCAAGGGGCATCATCACAGTCCTTTGCTCCTCTGCTTTATAAATTCTCTCTGTATTCATAGGAGTTTCTGTTGTGTGATCTCTCTATCTCTTCTTTTAATTACGACCTAATGGACAAATTGTCTCTCTCTCATTCATCTCTGTGCGTCTGTTTCAGTAGTGGTAGGGTATCTTTGCTTGAAAATCCGCAATGTTGATTGTGCAGCTTAGAGCTTAAAGCCGTGGAGGTGGCTTGCTGAAGTGTACTCTGTCCTGAAAGCCGCCTTCTCTCCCCTTTGAGAGAGATACTAATTGTAGTTCTGGTGTGTAAATAGTGTTTGAAATGTAAATAGTAGCATGCAAATGAAATTATTCTTGCACAGGCCTGCTTTTCACCCTAAAAATGTTTATTATAGCTATGGGAGGTGCCCACTGTGAGAGCTCGCTGCTGAGAACAGGCTGTCCCCTCGCCCTGGAGGCGAGAGCGCTTTCAGTGCCTGCCCTCTAGTGCCTGTCCAGCCGAGGTGCAGCAGGCACCGGAGGGAGGGAGGAAGGGAAGGAAAACCCCCTCCTGCCACCCGGGCTCTGGTTAGCAGCAGGACCCTATTTGCTACGTGGCATTAGACTGTAAAATGGAGGGTCGCAGTCAGCACCCCCTACCAGTTGTGGGAGGTCGCCATCGCTTGCAGCGAGGCTAAACATGGTGCTATAAGAACTGTCTTGGACCTTAATCTGTTTTTACTACATTAGGGATGCCCTTGGTAAAATGGATTCTGAATAACAGTGTTGGTTATAAGAGAAATTCTCGTGTGAAATTCTGAATGTTTCCCATTGTGCTGTGTGTGCATTGAAATGGCAGGTCTGCAAATACCTGGCAAGGAGATTAGATCTCAGCAGGCGTCAGGCACAGTGGAAGGTTCCAGCTCTTCCCTCGTATTTTTTGTTTTCTCTCTGAAGATTTTTTAGATATCTGTAATTGGTCATGGAACTATCTAAAGCAAACAAAATAAAACTACCCTGTTGGATGCATTAGCTACCAAATTTTGCCACTTAAAGAAAAAAAAAAATCTGTTTCCCCTAACATACAGTATAAAAATAAGTGTTGTGACTACTAGCGTGCACCAGGCAGCACTGCTAGCTGTGTTTTGTGTTTTGGCAATATAACTGTTTTAATAGAAAGCACCATCCGTGTGTGTTCCTGTTCACGCTTTGTACATGGTAGAGATGGACCTGATACTGCCTTGAGCTCTGGGGAAATTGGGATTTGGCTTTTGTGACTCAGACTCATCTTTGATTGTGTATATTCTGGATTAGGTCAAACTGAATCTCTCTCTTCTGGTTCATCCTGGGGTACACATCAAGGTGTCCATATTTACCCTTTGTGTATCATTCCTTTTTATACGAATGTATTCTTTTGTGTTCCTTTTTATCAGTTGTAAATTGATTGTAAAAACCAACTACAATTACTGATTGAAAGTATTGCTATAACGGAACTGCATGCCCAGTAGAGTTTGACTTGAGCTTTAGTTGTCTGATTTTGGACTGGTTACCTTCAGTCTAGGAGAAGAGCATAGATCAGATGCATCATGTATTACTTGTCATCTTTAGCATTAGACTGTGGTATTGTATCACATGCTGATCTCTATGGATGTAACTGGAGTTTACTTAGGAAGTGAATGTGACTTCCTGGTAATTAATTTTAAGCTATTGAAAGTGGTCTTGATCATGCTACTTGTGTTCTTGAGTTTGTTTTTTAATAGAGGCATTTTTTTAGGAATGTTTTAATACACTTATGATGGACAATACAATAGTTTTAATAGTTGTGCAGTATTCTGTATTTACTTGAAGTAAATCATTTTATATGCAATTTGTTAGATAATTACAATTTTATAAATAAAATTGCGTGAAATATGATGTTGTGAATGTGTACTCCTGAAGTAACACTTAACATTAATGGTACAAGGATACACTCATGCAAAATTCCTCCAGGAGAAGACCCACTGCCTGCCCTTCTCCATACTAATAGGGAAAATAAATCCCCAAGTCTCTCACATACAATGTAGAATATTGTGTTCCAAATAAGTTGCAAAACACGTTGTCATGCTGTCAGTGGCTGCCCTTAATAATAAGCTAATACATGAAGAGCACATCCCTACATGAGGACATCCTGTTATCTACTGTCAGCTGTTGTTGAAGTCTCTGACTAATGAACATGCTCTGGTCCTTTCTGACAGGTTGTTGGTGTTCCTCAGACTGCTGTGGCTGCTGGTTAGTACAACTGTTGGAGCTCTCTCCGTAATCATTTTAGTGATCCTGAAGTGTTCAGAAGTTGCTGTTCTGCAGGGAGCAGCACAAAGGGGATTTGTCATGACTTAATTAAAATTTTGTTTAATGGTGGGAATTTAACTTTTCTAAGTGCAACGTCTCATTGAAGAGAAGTAGTGAGAGCTGGCTTATTTTGTTGTGCAGATAAAAATGGGTAATGCAGTCTTGTACCTGTTTAGACAGAAGAGGAAGCAGCTCAGTTTCTTAGTATTTCAGAAACTAGAGAGCAAGCTACTCTGATTCAGTATCTCAAACCTGTAATTCTGCCCACAAAACACCACTATGACTGATTTAAAAATGTGTCTCTATATTCAAATCTTTATCCAAATTGAATGTAAGGAAATTACTTGGCAAAATAAGGAAGCAAATGTGGAGGCCTTGGCAAGGGAAGGAAGAACTAAAGTCAACCAAAAAGAAGCAAAGTTGAGGGTATTGTTTAAATCTTCATAACATGCAGTAGATGTGACACGCTGGGCTATAAGCCATTTGTATGATGAAGGGGGAAGTGTGGCTGTGTGCGTTCTGTCCAACTTGCATACTGTTTCTTGAAGTGACATACCTGGGAGGTACTGCCTGTGTAGTGTGGCTTCAGCGATCGTTTTAGCTTGGTTTGCTGAGGCAGTAGACAAAAGGCCCAATGTCTGGCATCACCGTCACAAAAATAGTCTGAGCAGCAGTTGTTGAGCTTTGCTTGGATGTAATCTGCCTACTAAACATTAATCAAAACTACTGTCAGCAATTCCAATTCAGACGACTTCTTTCAAGTGAGTAGTAAAATGCACGTGATGGTGTTGTCCTTAGATCCCATTTCTCTTACTGAAAGGCTCTGAGGAAAAAAGCAGAGCAGTATCAGCACTGGCTCTGTTGGTGCTTGCTGTGACAGTGGTATCCCTAATAAAAATTTGGTTTATAGGGGCTAAGGCTTAACCTGAGGTGCAGTTATAACAACCAGGTGAATGGGAATTTTTTCAATGTTACAGACAGCTTGTGTGAACACTTACAGTTTATAACTATGTCAACAGGAATAGTCTGTTTAGAACCAGGTAAGTCATTGGCAACTGGGTTTTCAAATGTATTTTGAGATCTGTTTAAATGAAGGAAAGTTATTTCCATGCCTGAGAAGACAGGCTTGCGTGGGTCCGCTGTGAGCTGTGATCATAAACATGCTGGTTATGTTCAGCAGTGTAGAGGTTATTTGGAGCCTGGCATCGTGAGGTCCTGGTCTGTGTTTGCACCCCTGTTAGTGCCTTTAGCAAATGTCTTTTGAATGCTTTTTTAAATAAGTCTGTTGTACAGTACAATATTAAGAGGCTTTTTCTGTGTGTTTCTGGCACTGGATTAAATGGATATAGAATCTCATCTGCTGTGTGAATACTCCTGTAAGAGCCACTGGGTTTTAGTCCAGTCTCAGAGCTTAAACTGGCTATTTGAGGTAAGTTTCTTCTCATACCCAGCTTATTTACATAATCCCTTTCCCATCATAACTGGCATCTTCCTATCAGTGTACATGGGGTAGCCATGGGAAGGTCAAAAGTGTTTTTGCAATCAGCTGGCTTGGATTGCATGGGTACTTGCCCTTTGGGTTTGCTGCTTCTGCTGATAAAGAAGCCTGAAACATCTTGGGCTGGCACTTCACCACTGGGAGCATCGAGTTTGCTTTAAAATGTTACACATCTTATCATCTTTGTGTGTTGTGGGCTTGATCAAACTAGACAGTGGTACCACACAGTCAAAATTAATGTGCTGGCTTGCTGGAAACTGCTGTCCCAACTGGTCCCTGTTTTGCTAAAGAGTTGTCTGCTGCTTTGCTCATGTTATGACATCTTATAAACCTAAAAAAAAAAAAAAGCAGCTGTGAGGGTAAGATACTTAAGCTGGCAATTTCCCAACCTGCTGACCTGCTGGAGAGCAGTGTAGGTGAAAGAGACCTGAGGGTCCTGGTAGACAGAAGGATGACCATGAACCAGCAATGTGCCCTTGTGGCCAAGAAGGCCAATGGCATCCTGGGGTGTGTTAGAAAGGGTGTGGTTAGTCGGTCAAGAGAGGTTCTCCTCCCCCTCTATTCTGCATTGGTGAGGCTGCATCTGGAGGATTGTGTCCAGTTCTGGGTCCCTCAGTTCAAGAAGGACAGGGAACTGCTTGAAAAAGTCCAGCGCAGAGCTACAAAGATGATGGAGTGGAACATCTCCCTTACGAGGAAAGGCTGAGGGAGCTGGGTCTCTTTAGCTTGGAGAAGAGGAGACTGAGGGGAAACCTCATCAATGTTTACAAATATGTAAGGGGTGAGTGTCAGGGAGATGGAGTTAGGCTTTTCTCAGTGATGACCAGTGATAGGACAAGGGGTGATGTGTGCAAATTGGAGCATAGGAGGTTCAAGGTGAATATCCGGAAAAAAATTTTTACTGTAAGAGTGACAGAGCACTGGAACAGGCTGCCCAGGGAGGTTATGGAGTCTCCTTCATTGGAGACATTCAGAACCCACCTGGATGCATTCCTGTGTGATGTACTCTAGGTGACCCTGCTCTGGCAGGGGGGTTGGTCTAGATGATCTTTCGAGGTCCCTCCCAATCTCTAGGATTCTATAATTCTATGATTCTATGGAAGATGCTCACATGCTGCGTTTCTCACTCAATGGGCAACTGTTGAAAAGTTGCTGCAAGATATGCCTTTAGAAATCTGTCTACAGAAAAAACCCAGTGAACAAAAAAAGCCCAAGCAAGTCCAACAGCACTTGTGCATGTGGCTTTATGGGATAAGAATTGTATAGTGTATTGCTGTTAAACTGTGCAATTGTTAAACCACACAGTGCCTTTATGTGACTATACACAGTAGAAGTGGTTGGAATAGTTTCCTTTGTATTCGCTCAACTGAAAGGCAATGATTGAGTTGGGGCCAGAGCCAGGCACAAAAAGGGCTCCTCACCAGTGCATGGTGGTGAAGTCATGGCTCCTGTGCATGAATAGATAAAGGACAAACCACAGGATAAAGTGAGAGCACTGCAATTTTTATTTGTTACCTCTAGGTACCACAAGTTTGACATTAATAGGCAAGACCAGTGAATGAGCAGCCATACATTGCATTCAAACCTGAATCTCTGAAGCACCAAAAATGGAGCTAGATTTACTTCTTAATCCTATAGTCAGCACGCTAGCCTGGACTTGCTGCATCTTGGATCATCCCTAATTTAGCATACATTGTTACACAGTTAGGGGGTGTGAGGAAAGAGTCATTGTGTAGTACCACTTCTACGTCATCATAGGACTACAACATGCACATTCTACTATGTGGCCCAAGCAACAAGAATACAAGTAGAACAGTTTAGGGTGGAGACAGGTTCATGATAACACCACCTATGAATTTGTAGAAACCTTTTTTGGACTGGTACCTACAGCAGTTCATCAATTTGTGTGGGAACATTACACGCATGCACAAGTGATACAGTGGAAAACATAGCAGGAGTAGCAGCAGGACAGAGGACAAAGGTGAAATCAGTGATGGGATGCATTGGAAACACGACTTTCCTCAGCTTTCTACAGCAAGTCTCTGCTCTGTTAGCAAGGCCTGCTGGGCAACAGTTTTGTTCTCATGGCTGCGGAGTTTTGATATGACTTCTAAAAATGCCATACTTTGCACTTCCTTTTGAAGACGTTCTGGAAAAAGAAATAGTAAGAGACAATGGTGCTTTGTATGAGACAGGCAAAGAATGGCAAAGCTTGGTGGATGTGAGAAACCTTTCTACTGAACCCCATACTCGCATAAGCACATAAATGTGTGTGTACCCATAATCTTTTTATTTACTACTTTGAATTGCTTTTGAGGATGGAGAGAAAATTCTCAAGGGCCTGGGCATGCACAAGTCTCCCTAAGTTTTGGGTAGACATGATTGATGAAGTTGCTGCATAGCACTTCAGAAAATCCATGTGAATTGCCTTCTAAAACATAGTGAAAATATTTTTTACTTTATTTCTTAAAACTAGCCTGACCAAGTGAGCTTGCACTGGACCATCTGTCTGTATCAAATCAGCTCTGGTTGTTTGTGTGAGGGTGTGAAGTGGATGAGATGGTTCTTCCATGGATGTGTCACCACTTGGTCACTGCTAGCTTCCACTTACAGCTGTGCTTTGCACTTAATGCAAAAATAACACATGGTGAACTGCTCAATGTGATATATTTGTACACAGTGCTTATGTTTCACTCAAAACTGTAAGACATTGTTTTATGATACTGATCCTGCATTGCACTTGGTAATAAGAGGGAGATGTTTGGAACAACTCTGAAAACTGAGCTATTTAAAAAAAAGAATTTGTTTCCTCTGAACCCTGTACTCTAGACATCTCACAGTTGATCTAAAGCAGCTGGTTTTGTTTCAAGCCCTGTTCAGGCCATTGTAATGAACTGCCACTCAGCAACAAATACCAACATATTTTTTTTTGCTTCTGAGGGCCTAATCCTTGAGCCTCCCAGGGGAAATTCCAGCCACCTGTTTCAGATAGTTATGCTGTGTCCTATGCACAGTTACTTCTCTTTTTTGTTTTCAATAGCAAACTTTGACATTTGTTTCCCTTCCTACCTAATGTCTTGTTCATGTTTCACCCCTACTGTGTAAGAGGTGGGAACTCTCACACTGTTGTGCACCTGGAAGTATCAGTGAAGCTGTTGGGGTGGTTATGCTGTGTGAGCACTTTCTGATCTCTTAAATTTTCTGAGATACTGTATTTCAGCAAGTGTTACTGAACTGAATTTCAGGAATTTGGTGTGCTTTACAGTGGCTGACTAGTTCTTCTTAATATCCAGGGCCCTGTGTGCCTGGAGACCCTTGCAGACAGAAGTGACTGTGCTAGCTGTGAGTGCTTTGCTTTTGATGATTGTTACATGTTTCCATTTTCCATTGTCCTAATTTTCCCCTCTTTCATCCATTCACTCAGTTGCAAGAGCTACTTCCAGATGGCAAAAATTAGAAATATATGCTGTTTAACACAGATACCTTGTAACAAAAGGTAGTAACAACAGGGGTCACTGGATAATTCCTTTTACTAATCATAGCACCAGTGCAACTGTTACTATTCTTTATGGAATGATACTGGGGTCACTTACTTTAAAATGGCTACACAGGTCTGTTTACAGCAGAATATGGAAACATGTAAATATAAATGCTTGCTGTGTGGAGACAATGGTGAAAATAAGTTAGTGGCAAGACAGCTGGGAGAGAGATGTATTTTAGTATTTTCATGTGTAAAGAGCAGGCTTGGCTCTTTGATCTCCCCTTCCTTGGTTAAAATACTTTAAAAAAAAAAAAAGTTTGCAGTTAATACCAGCTTGCTCAGTTGTTGCTGCTATGTACTCACTGATGTGACACAGGTCTGTTCATCAGGGAGCAGGGCTGAACGCTGGGGTCTCTGTAACTGCACGATGCGATCGTGCTGTCTGTCCCCTGCGAGCCTTGGAGCAGGCTGTCGCCTCATGTCTAGGTAAGGCTTAGAGTGTACTGGCAGACTGAACTCTGCTCGTTGGAGAACCCAAAAAAACCTCTCCTAAGACAAGACTGCTCCTTACTGTGGTGGAATAGAGAAGCAGGTATTTGACTTCAAATAACTCTGTCAATCTTGGCAGGTGGCTGGACTCAGAGCAGAGAAAATGCGAGTCTCAGGCAGAATTTCTGAGGGTGATTATTTTAGTTTGAAGCAGTGCGAATACACACAAGAAGATCATAGTGAGGCTGAGGGGGGACCTCTGTTTAAAGGCTTCTGCTCTAAAATTTGATGGATGATTCCAAGCATCAAATGGTTCAAGAAGGTTGTGAGTAACAACTAAACTACATCTCTTAACATTAGTGAATGCTTACTGGGAGCTGATACTTGTTAGCAAATTTTGAGCACAGTCTTTGTACAGTGAGATCTGTATACTGCTCTAAAAACAAGTAATCTTTTAAGATGGCAATAATACAACATTCCCTTGCATGGATTTACAGGTCACCAGTTACACTTGGTGAACTCTGTTTAAGAAGGAAACAAACAGCTTTGTTTACAGAGAGAGCACACACTTAACTATGAGAACTTTCAATCAATTTAATTCCTGTAAACTCGTCTCTAGACAACCTCTAGATGTTTCACACTTAGCAAGTCATGTTACACTTAGCAAGTCTTGAGTTTCCACCTTTCTATACTTAATCCAGGTCTTTGTCATCTTAGTTGTGTGTAAGTTCCTGAAACCTTTACAGAATAAAATGTATTGTCCTTCCACAGAGTAAATACTTCTTAAAGAATCGAATGAAAGAAATACAGCCACTTCTCGCAACCTCAGCTGGAAATCAAATTTCCCCATGACACCTTGCTCTTTGTTTTGCTCTTTGTTTTGCTTTTTTTGCCCACACACAGGTAGGAAATTGCAATATGAAATCATAGCTGGCTGCACCTTTGTCAAAATAGTCTGACCTTTAGCAGAGAGTTAGCTCAGAACGATGAGAGTTCATGGTGTCCAGCACTGGCATGTCCTGCTTGGCTTTCAAAGCAGCCATGAAGAGTTGTGCCTGGTGGGATGAGCATGTGAGGGCTGCAGAGGAAAGGGCTCTTCCAGTGAGCTAAGTGTGAGGATCCCTCCTAAACAGGATTATAGACTATGTGCTGTACTAAGTACTCATTTGTGTGCACATGTCCTTGCAAATACTACCTGTAGCTTTGTTTCCTATCATCCTTGTATGAATTTAAAACTACAGGTAAAGAGGCTTATTGCAAAATTCCACCAAATCTTATTTGACTAAGCTGGCCAATAAAAAAAGCCATTGCACACCAGTTATGGGGAACTTGCAGGTAAAAGTGAAAAGAAAGTTCTTGTTATCTGTGTATTTGCAAAGACAGCCTGGCACTGTACAGTTTTAAATGCTTTTCATTTCTCCCCTGTCAGCTGAAGTCTGACCTAGCTGCATTCTGCAGAAGTCAAGAGTCCAATTTCTGCAGTTAATATGCAAAACTGAGTTAACAGTCTCTTTCTTGACACTGCAAATAAACACTATAAATAAAATGTCATAGTAAATTAGACCTTTCTGTGTACATTTATTGTGAACAATGAACTTGTCTCAGGGTGTGTTTGCACATGCTCTATGTTCAGGCTAGAAGAGAGAAGGAAGTTTAAATACATAAATCTCTTAGGAGAGCAGCCTGTCCTGAATACTTACCTGATCCTGTAAGGGCACAGATCAGCACCATGGAGTTGTATTTTATTTCTGGAGCACTCCTGTCATCTGAGAGCAGTCTGTGTAGAATCTGAACAAGCTGAGCATTCTCAAGATCCTTTTCAGCAGTTACTGCAATACAAGTGAAAATCTGTAAATCTGGAAGTGCCACTTGCTTTGATGTTTCTGTGCATTAGCCATTCAGTGGAATGTGGATCTCTCACTGTGGTGGAAGTGGTGCTGTGGAACACTGGCACAAAACTGAAGCACATATTAGATGGTATGATGATAGGAATCGCAGCTCTTGCTATAAAAATGTAAAATAGCCCAACTGCTTGGAAGGAAGAATCACCGAGTTTAATGATAAAATCAAATCTTAACTGTGCAGTGAGCTGATGGAAATGCAACCAGGCCTTCTAGCTATTTAGGTCTTTCACTGCCTGAATTTGCTTTTGGGAATTTTGAGTAAATACAGATGGTGTCATTCTTGATTTCATGGTAGAGGGAGCTCAGGGCCCATGATAAAGTCTGTGAAAAACTTCAGAGTGTGAGTTACGTCATCTCTAGTTTTCTAAGAAACTTTATATACTGAAACTGAGCTTGAAACCTTTAAATGCCTGAAGACAAGACTTAGATAATTCATGAAAAGGAACATTTTTCATTAAAACAATTCCCTAATGCATTGGCAGTGATTTGGTAGTTGTAACAGCATTTCTGTAGTACATGATGGCAAGAACAAAAATCAAAATAAATTAAAAAATCAAGGGCAAAAATATGAAATGTTGCTTGTTTAGTTCTTTATCTTAGTTAATAAGTAACCAAATGGGATAAAACCTCTGGTGGGCATTTACCTTTTTGTTTGGTAAGCTGAGGTATTAAAAAGGCAGGCCAAGACATGTAATCATCTCGTGCCTTCATATGGCAACTCTTGCACCTAGTGTTGTGGAACTTAATAAAGGGGGGGGGGGGGGGGGATCCCCTCTGTGTTCTCTGGCTCTCAGTAAGTAGGTAAGTGAAAGTTTTACCTCGATAAATCCTCTCAAAAGTGGATTAACCATCCTGGTGTAGGAATGTAATCAGGTCATACAGCCTGCACTCTAAAGTATGATTTTCTTAACCTGGTAGCTTTTGGGGCTTTACCCAAAATTTGGAAGTTATGTTAAAGGGCCTTTCTAGACCATGTGACCACCTACCAGAACGATGGAGCAGACACTATTGCCAGCAAGCTCAGTTTTCTGTCTAACCTCATGGTCTGTGCTGCCTGCATGAACTGTTGTGTTCCTGTGCTACTGAAAGGCAGGTGGGAGGAGGAAGCTGTTCTACTCTGTGTTCTCTGGCTCTCAGTAAGTAGGTAAGTGAAAGTTTTACCTCGATAAATCCTCTCAAAAGTGGATTAACCATCCTGGTGTAGGAATGTAATCAGGTCATACAGCCTGCACTCTAAAGTATGATTTTCTTAACCTGGTAGCTTTTGGGGCTTTACCCAAAATTTGGAAGTTATGTTAAAGGGCCTTTCTAGACCATGTGACCACCTACCAGAACGATGGAGCAGACACTATTGCCAGCAAGCTCAGTTTTCTGTCTAACCTCATGGTCTGTGCTGCCTGCATGAACTGTTGTGTTCCTGTGCTACTGAAAGGCAGGTGGGAGGAGGAAGCTGTTCTACATTGCAGAAGAAACTCGAACAAGTCTCCCTCTGTGACTCCTCCTGGGCACTGACTGGAAAGAAAACAGGTAGAGTTAACCACGGGGATACTCACCTAACTCTAAAGCTGCTATTAATGCCAGTGCAACGAGTGCTTCGTTTTGCATTATTACGTGTTCACTGGTTGCCATGGTTACTAAATGCTTGATGCCACCACTCTGTACAATGGTCCTAATTACATCCTAAAAGAAATTAACATAGAAAAGAAAAAAATCTGCATTGCATACAAACTGTATTAAATAACAAAATGGTCATGAATGCTATGTTATCTTTGGGTAAGGATGCTTGTTGCCTTTCTGTACATATAACCACTTTATATATAAATGTACATGTATGTGGGCCTATAAATTATCTGCTATTACTCTGCAATTATAAGATAGAAGCTGTTAAACCAAGCCAGTTAACCATGTGACAAAGACATTCATAACTAACTCTTTTCCAGGTTACACTGTGTAACTTGTCATCAAGTTCCTAATCGTAAGTCCACTCTTTGTTATGTTTGAACTCAGCTGGTATTTGGAGATGACTCGTTTTCCTTTATGTTGAAATGTTCAGAGCAGTTTAACAAAAGCACCCAACAAACACAGTTCTAATATAGTTACCAAATCCTTTGTATCTCTCCAAGGATTTTCAGAGTTTCCTCAAAATTTTCAGAGGTGAGATCACAAATAATACTCCTCATTATGTAAAAAAATTTTGTACTTGAAATAAGACTTTTGAAAATGGGCAGGAAAATGAGCAGCATTCTTTTGAAGCATTGTGGCATTCTCCTTCAAATACAAAGCAGGTTAGGAGAAAATAGTTATGGGATACCAATGTGTTGGTTTCTGTTTTAAAGCCAGCAATTAAAGTGATCTGTTGCCCAGGATCTAGGAAATGAAAATGCTGACTGGGTTAAACAGCTTTAAAGCAGTTTAAAAATACTCAGCTGGGATTTGGGTTTTCAAGTCCAAAATTTGGTCCAACTTACATATGTTATAAAGGACAAATAAGGACCTACGGTGTCTACTGATCTTTGATTACTTGTTAGTTGTCATTTAACAAGTGAGTTAGTACCTGTTTTCACCACTGTATGTCCCAAAAATTCTTGAAAAATGTTTGCCTGATAATCAAGTAACTTGGCATGCAATAGGGAAGCTGTCAAAGAAATGTGGTTTGGTTTTTATTGTTTTTTAATTAGTTTTGTGGGTGCACAAAGTTTTGAAAGAGTATTTGTTTCTTGAAATAAAAATCTGATTGAAATATTTAATAAATGTGTTGAATTTCCTTTTAAAGAACACATCCCTTTCTAACTCCAGCCACAAACCAAAACTCATTAACTAATACTTGTATTTAGAATGACTTATGTTTCAGTGCTTGCAAAGGCTGTGAAGTGACATTCTTTATGCAAGAAAATTGGCACAGTGTGATAATAATCCTTAAAACTGACATCTTTTTAGGTGTCATAATGAAGATGCTAGTGGCACAAGTCACAGCCAAATGACTCAGGGATTTCACATTTAAAACTTTTTTTTTTTTTTTCAGAATGATGCGATGTATGCAAGCATGTAAGTATTTTTCTATTTTTCCTTACTTGCAATGATGTATTATTTATCATCCAAAGCAGTTTTGAGACTTCATGGAGCAATCTGGAAACTGCTAATTTCTATTTGAATTTTATATGGAATTTGGGCTGTATGCTCCTTGCGAATAAAACAGCACCTCTGACATAAACAAATGTATTTTTCTAGGTGACAGTCATCGTCTAAAGGGCTGTACCAATTAGATAAAAGAGATGACAACATCAGTCAGGTTTGGTGCTAGTGTGACTTCACTGACCAAGTACCTACTCTGTTTTTTAGGATGAGATGTAAGTTTTCTAAACTACTGTTGCCTTTGTGAATATCACCCCAAATGTTTAAGCCTAAAAACCAGGTTTTTGCTGTAAAGAAACATACAGTTGTACTCATACTTAAGCCTAGAGGGCAGTAAAAGTATTTAAAAACCCAGCCTCTTGGCTCTCTTTTCCAGTCAAGTTTCCTCTAGGAGTACGTAAACCACACAAACGTTTATCTGTGATAGTTCTTTTAACTTCTGTATTAATATCTATTTGATACTATCAATAGTGTCTCTGTATTTAGAATTTAATTCTGATTTCCTGTACAGAGTATTGATACAACTCCCACCTGTGGTTGCATGTGCCATCTGTGCATCCACCTTGAGGACTGGGGTGTATAAAAGATGAGTACTCAAAAAACATGAAACCTGATCCGTTTTATGGGCTAAACATAGAATATGGGCATTAGAGAGAGCCAGTGATATTAGCTCTCAGCAAAGATTTAAATCTCTCCAAGGCATGTTGATTTATTTAGGGAGAAGCTCAGCATGGGTCAGATCCACAGTATGTTTTTTCCTTGTAAATGCCACATGTGAATGAAAGGGCCCCTGTTAAAGTCGGAGTTCTCCAAATCACACTTTTTAAGCTCAGTCATGCAGCCTGTGTTCATATCCGTGACACACTGAATGAAGTCTGAGCCTGAAATAGCTTGTTTCCAGAGGACATGATGCTTTTGTCCCTTGTAAGACTCTTGTTTTGCATATTACTCTCCTGAGCACAGGTGGTGACCTGGACTGGTTTTGCAAAGGTATTTAGTTGACATGAAGATGATGGGAGGGACAGAACTTATCTGTCCCACAGTTTCTCTTAATGTCATACCTGTTATCATGTACTAGCAAGCTTCTGTTAGAATTTGGAATAAATTATCATTTCTAATAATCCATTAGAAATGCTGAAATACACTATATGAAGAGTAAGGGACAGACTATTTCTGGATCTTAATTTTATATAAATATATAGCAAGATCTTAAATGAATGTGATGATTTTTCGTATCTGGTATCATATGTAGAAAATACAGGATGCTGAACTGCTATAGGATACAATACAAATAAAAATGAGGCACGACTTATCCACATGAATCCCAGTAGTGTTCTTTCAACTGGCCTGAAACTCTGAAATTGTTTTGCTTTGTTTCAATCTTTTTTTTAACTGTGTAGTTCCAGAGAGGATCTAAACCTGGAGCTTGTGCCTGACTGAAGGTTCCAGAGGCAGAGGAGATGAAACACATGAGTTAACCAATCTGGTTCTCTAGAGGGATTACATACCAGAAGCCTTGGCTTACCAATACCAAGTGCAGAGGTAACTCTCAGTTCTTACAAGTTGACCTTTTACACCACTAACTTACTTTTGATTTGCTGTGTCGTATAAGTGCAGAAAGTAGTCTGTTGGACTCTCCCATCACACCTGCATGATCCTTGGCTTCACACCACTCCACCAACCGTTCCACCAGCTTTACATTTTTGCCCAGCTGTTCTGCTGCTTCTGCTACACCATGCCGGAGCCAATAACACAACAAACAAGTTGTCACTTTTTAAAGCAAGTGCTAGAAAAATAAGCTGAAAGCTACTAACTAGAAGGAGTTTGTTAAGAAGAAATTGACTAGCTTGTGCTAACAATGGAGAAGTCTAGGTTGCATGGAAGCAAGTAAAGCCAGTCAAAATGGAAACAAAGCACAGAAAAACATTAATAATCCAGTGTCTGAAAACAGCTTATCAGCCCAGTTAATGATGCTTCTGCATTGATTAAGAATAGGGAAAACAGAGGTGATGTCACACCCCCAGGTGAGCTAGCTCAGAAATTTTAAGACCAGGAGGGACCTCTGCCAGAAGGGAGCACTGTGGTGAGTTATATTAGGTTTTATAGACTATAAGTTACATAAGTTTGTTCAATTAATTTCTACTTTATATCTAATAGCTTTGCTAGAACTAGAATGGATATTTTGAAAAAATCTACAGGGCTGAGTCAAGAATAAGTACTTGGCTAATTTATCTTATTCACTGCTTTTTGTTTTTTAGCAGACTTCTGACTTTATAAATCATCATCATCCTGGAACAAGCTGTTAAAGCTGAAAGGTGCTTGTTTGTTTAGAAATTGCAGTTTATCAATTAACAAGTGCATAAGTCTGTTCCAAGGAGCTGGGAAGAGCCATGACATGCAGTAAGTGAACAGCAAAACAGGAGGGGTTGCTTAAAACACTCACGCCTCAATACACACTCTTAATGTGACAGTGTAGGAGAGTTCTGAAGTATGAAATTAAATAAGCATTTGACACCTATTCTGAGGGTCCCTGGTAGTCAGTTTAGGAGCTCTGAAAAAAAAAAAAACAACCCACATTCCTCCCTTTGCATATATATTAGGTTTATTCCAAGACTTCAGGAAAAAAATTTTGAAAAAACCTTCTGCTTCTCTCCTGTAAGAATCTTGGAAGCACATCACAGACTGAACCAAAGAGCATCACTTAACATAGAGAACAGTTTATTTTTACCTTGTGCATCTATTAACATTCTTAACGTTCCCAGCAGCTTGAATTGAACAGGGGGCATCTCTGATCTGAGGAATTTCAATACAGCTTCTGCAACACCAGCTTGCATATATATTAGGTTTATTCCAAGACTTCAGGAAAAAAATTTTGAAAAAACCTTCTGCTTCTCTCCTGTAAGAATCTTGGAAGCACATCACAGACTGAACCAAAGAGCATCACTTAACATAGAGAACAGTTTATTTTTACCTTGTGCATCTATTAACATTCTTAACGTTCCCAGCAGCTTGAATTGAACAGGGGGCATCTCTGATCTGAGGAATTTCAATACAGCTTCTGCAACACCAGCTGATAGCATCTTAGCCTTATTTACAACTGCATGAATAAAGAACAGAGACGATCTCAAGAACATTTCTGGAAGATGCAGTTTATTTCCAAGATGGTCTTGAAGCACATTTTCAGACATTGTCTGAAAAATAGTTTGTGAACACAGATGTCAGGAACGTGACTGTGCGCTGACAGCACCGTGTTGTGGAAAAATGTGAGTTGCTAAGACACAGGTGTGAAATTAAGGGCTTTTTCCTAGCATGAACATTGCATTTTCAGTGTTCAGCCTGAACATGAACTGAAGGCTAGACTTCTCCCCTTTGGTCTAGGAAAGGTATCTTCCACAAAACTCATCAAGTAGAAGCGCAGGCTGGTCCTTGCACCCCAAATACAAGGAAATTGATTACCAACAACACTCACCTATGTCACACAGCATCTAATTAGCAGAATAACCTTGTACCTGGTTCCAATACTTTACACATACAACACTGTCGTGTGGCATGTCTAGCACTTGTAGTCCTTGCATTGCCTTGCCACCTGCCCCCTCCCAATTCTCTTTCATCCCCTCCACTAGTCTACATCCTCCACTTCCACAAAACTCTCTGAAATATATATAAGGTGCAAACTTAGTTCACTATTTTATTTAGAAAAAAAAGTACTTATTTCATATTCCAAGTAGTGTTTAACAAGCAGTTCATCACTGAAGCCAGTTATGGCTTGCTCATTTTCCTGTAACAATATATGTGAAACCTTCTGTAGATCTCTGGCAGAGCAGACATCCTTGAGCACAGGCTGCAGGAAAGCTGGCAGACTGATGGAAGTTAATAGAATTACTTGCCTGAGAAAGGTAAGAAAATAGCATACTACTACAGCTGCATGGATTTAGTTATGTATCCATGATTATTTTTAGAAAGTTACTGTTTAGCAAAACTGAAAACAGTAAAATAATCATAAATGGATGAAAGACATTTTTGGCTTGGTATGGGAGAGCATACACAAGTAATACAGACCTGCTTTGTTTTCATGTGCATGTGCTCTGCCTTTTGTGCTTGGGTAATCAAAGCTCATACAAGTAAGTTATTAAAAATGACAAAATTAGCATTCAGTTCACTGCCTACAAACAGTAACTAGGCTGGCTATTCTAAAAGTCTATCCCCAGCTCCAATGTGGGAATTGTCAAGGTCTGAGGAAGTTACAGAAAAATGCAGAGTTTCAACAAAGTGGGGACCCTCAGGTGTGAGAGAGATCCCAAATGAAACAAAAAATTAAAATGCAGTACTCTGGAAAGAAAGGATTGAGAAATCACATCCAAGGCCTCCTCAGCTCCCTGCCTATTACAAAGCTGCTCTTCCTTTGCTGGGGGGATAATACTGTGGGGTTACAGTGGCAAAGAACGGTCAATAGGCCTGTAATGTGTTTAAAACTGTGTGTCATGGTTGCTGTGCAGAAGACATAAGAGTGACAATGGGCCTGAATTAAAAGCAGCAGCCTGACCTGCCTCTAGGACTATCAATCAGTTCTTCCACCCTTGTCCCCTGAGTGGTAACAGTAGGAGAACAGAATTTCACCTTTGGGTAATTAGCAATGCAAAGTGAAGCTTACCAGGAATAGCCAGGTTTCTGAGAGCACTCAGTGCAGCGTGCTGCACAGTTACGTTCCCATCCTCCACATGTCTGTCTAGCAGATCCATCAGCTTTTGAACTATGCCATTATCCACCATATGGATGCAGTTCCCATCTGTGCAAGATGAGACAAGTCACTTGTGAATGGAAGATTATTACTAAGATTTTTACCACAGTTTTTTAAAAATAGAAGGGTTATTTCCTTGCTCCTGTCTGGGTTTCATTGTTGAGAATTTGACCAGTGTCATCAATGGGAGTTGCAGTGCTCATGACACTGAAGAGTGATAAAAGAGTGATATGAAAAAAACCAACACTGAAGAAGGCAGAAATCCCCTGTACCTCTGCAAATGTGGAACAATGTTTAAAGTAGGCTTAATGATTTTCAGGACTCTAAAGTAGAACACTACTAATGTTGCTGTACAGCTCAATACCAGCTTCACCGTGACCATTTTGTTTGTAGCTGTACAGAGAGGGCATGACAGAACAGCACAGATAAATTTATGCAAGCTATTATGGCATATTCTTACCATTTCTGGCAAAATTTGCAATAGCCAGTGCTCCTGCAAGCTGTAGCTGATGGCTGTTGGAAGGAATCCATGAAAGTACTCTTTGGAACACACTGCCTTTTCCTCCTTCAAATAACTTCTGCATGGATTCATCTAGGGTAAAAAGCATACAGTCAGCAAGCCAAAGAAGTGTTAGGGAAAAATTCTTCTCTTTATATTTGTGAAGCTATGCTGGATTCACTACAATTAATCCAGTCCTGCAATGGGATGAGAGACAACATCTGACCCATTAAATATTAACTGGCAGGCAGCAGGTCCTCTAGGTTATTTAGAAAATTAATAAATAGTAAAAAATCAGCAGCCAAACAGCATTGCAAGTATCTGCTGTTGCTTTACAGAAGATAGTGACACACTGTACTTACCTCCAAGCAATAATAAAACCATAAGATCAGAAGCTGTTTTCAGCTCTGCAATATCCTCCTCTTTGTCACTGTCCACAGTCTTCTGGACGATTTCAAGTAAGCACTCCACCAAGCCTGCTTCAACCAGCTGCAGCTTAATGACGTCTGAAGAATAGCATGGATAACAGGAGTCAGAATCATGACTTTAAATACATCTGTTGTACATATACACAGGGCAGACTGCAAAAAGAAGTGGTGATGTCAGTGGTTTGACAGCTTGTGTAGATAAAATGGTAACTTCAAATTTTCAGGGCTGACTTCTGTAATTATTAATCTACCAGGCACTCTCCTGGCTCTGGACTGCCTGCAGAGCACAGCTGTACACTGGGGCTAGATGGAGCTGCTCTTCACTTCTCAAACACAAGAATATTTCTCTACAGCAAACTTCTGGTATCTCAGTTGTCACACAGCAGACAGTGCAGTGTTTGGACTTTCCAAAGACTTTTGACTGCATCTGTACAACAAACTTAGGGTTTCTTATTCTATTTCATGTACAGAAGAGCTACTGACTTCACTGAGATGTGCAAATATAAAATACTGAGCTTTTTGATGAAATCTACAAGCAGGTAACTACTCATTTCTTTTAGATAAGGCAAGATTTCTGCCATTTGTTGAAAGTGCTGCAGGAGGAGCACAGTTAAGGCCAAATCCAAAAAGGCTGGATTGGAAGAGAAATTTGTTGTAATTGAAGAAAAGCTGGAATGAATGAGGTAAATTAATTTCTCAGTTGTTATTGGACATAAAGCTCAAAAGAGAAGGTGATAAACATGTTTTCCAGGTGGTGACATAACTTCAGAGCAGTATTTTTTCTGTTGTTTCTACAATGCTATCTTTAATGGATTTTTCCCTGTGAACTTGGAGCTGGGAATCCCCTTTATATGTCCAAACTCCCTTTCTGTTAAGTGGGAATGGTAGGCTGACTGATGCTGTCTTATGCCTTTTTGTTATGTGAAGTGATTCTGGTAGTTTTTGCAGTGTGATTTTTAGAAAGCACCATAGCAAACCTCTGCAGAATGTGCAAACAAATGGATTTCTCTTCGCTTTCTGTATGAAATGGTGTTTTAACAATAAGGAGCTTAGTCCAAGTTAAAAAATTTTAAAGGCCAAAGCTTTGGAAATATTTTCTTTGTATAGTTTACAAGCGACAGTTGGGTGAGGAAACGTGTTCTACCTCTGGTGAAGAATGTGCCTGACTTTCACTTTTCCGTTGTCTTGAGGCTTTTTGCCTGAGTGAAATTCATTGTTCCTCTAAGAGCAGCTGACCTTCTCATGAACCTTGTTAGAAAATGCAAAACATCCAGTTGAGATCTTTTTAAAATAGGCACTTTTTGCACTGAGGTACTTAAAAAACAGAGTTCCTTACTTACAAAATACCACATTGCAGATGTTCTGTGATTTTAAATATTAATTGCTACACCAGTGTGCTTGAACATAAAACCGAAAATGCCTCAAAAACCCCCAATCACCAAAATGCAAACTCTGCGAATACTTTATTTAACCAATTTTGCCTCCTCAACTATTGCTAATTATCTGCAATCAAAAGCACATAAACAGCATTAGCAAACTGAACTCATTTAAGTTTGCCTTGAATGCACAGTGGAAGAGTTCAGCTGACTCCTTCACAATGTGCAAGCACCTGAGTTCTGCTCAGAAGCAGTAAACTTAGCTTATTGCAACTATAACCCACAGTCTAAGAAAAAACAAGTGTATAAACTTGTGTCAAAACAAGTGTCAAACTTGCCAAAGGTTTGATCCAATTCTGTGTCAATCTCCAAAGATGGAACTATCTTAGAGCAACTTGCTAGTTACTACATAATAAATTAATGTACTTTGGCAAACTATGCGTTTTAAGAACTGAAAAAAGGAATTCTGTTGTCACATACCACTTGAAAGAAAAGACAAGTTATCTTCTTAAATTGAAGCAAAAATTGATATTGATTTATAGTGTATAAAACAGACACAGGCAGAGTGAGTGTACAACAAAGTAGAATGAAACCTAAATCTTTGGGGTTTACAATTCTATCTAGTAATTTATCCCATTCAAAGAAGCTTTAATGCTGACGTGATTAAAACAATGTTATAAAGCCATCAAATATTGTGATGTCTTATATACTCAAAACTGCTTCCCACTTCAGTCCAGCTCCACCTGTTAGCTCATTTCTTCCTTTCTTTGAGGGCACATGGTAGATTGTAAACCACCCAGAATTCCTTTGGGAGGAATGTCCCAGAGAGGTAACTGGGCACACATCACTTCCTGCCCTGGCTTGCAGAATGAATGAAACTCAAGTCTTGTGGGGTACCAGAATATATACCACCAAAAATTCATGTGATCTCTCAATAAACAGCATGGTGGGGAGTGTCCAGCTCTTAGCTCTGCAATTAACATGCCTCTTGCAAAACTCATGTCCAAGGGAAATGAAACTGCCACGGGGTCTGCAATCCCAAAAATGACGTACTGACTGATGTCCTGGTATTGTAATGGACTATGAATGCTTGAGCCAGCATTTTGCAGACAAATGTTGCAAAGCCCTCTTAAAAGCAGCTTTTGTTATTCCTACTGTAGGAAATATAATCATATGCAAAGTGAATCAGAGGTGGAATTAGCATCAACAATTTCTTGGCTCTTGTTATATGCTCAGACAATTAAGACCTATTCACTTTATATGAAACCACCATCAGAAGGATCAGCCACAGTGGCTTCTGAACGAGGCAGTCAGTTACTCTGCATTTAATCCCTGAAATGGAGGCTGACGTGCAAAAATACATATAAGGGAATGAATACAAAAATAGTGTAAGAAAAAAATAAATCAAATTCTTACCATTTTCTGCCAGGGGAGCCAGAACTTCAAAAATCATCTCTTTTTTATCATGCTCTATTTGCTTCTTGAACAGTTTCACAAGCTCTTCAGCAATGTTTGTGTAGGCAAACTGCTCTTTACTTGACTCTGTGAAGCAGAAGGGAAAACTCAGTGTCAAGTAAACAAACCCCATCAAAAGTAGGACTATTTTTTTCTCTTTAATTCCAGGTTTATTCAGTACGATGACTAATAGTGCTCTTCACAGACAAGAACTTGTGCTTGTCACTAAATGAAAAATGTCTAACATTTTAAGAGAAATTGTAGTGACTTGAATTAATTATGTTAAAAATTAAAAGGCTTGTTAAAAAGATATAAATTTATGACCAAGGCTTGTTGGGGCTGTTTCTTCTGAACAGAATGTAAAGGTAGCTATAGAAACAGTAACATTACAAAAATATATATTGTCTTTGATTCCCCTGAGCTTAACAGCAAGACTGTCAGATTATTTACTGCATTTTCAAAAGGAGAGATGAAGGATTGTACTGAATGCTATAATATTTACATGGTTTCACAGTGGTGACATTTCCTTTCAAATCCCTGCGTGGCTGTTGCAGGGCCATTCCATACTGCACAGAAAGCATAAACCAGCTTTACAGATGGGCTTGCTACCAGGAGGCTAGCCAGCAGATAGCAGTTCGTCAAATGTAGATTCAACAAAAGCATCTCTTATTCTATCGCCTGTATCTTATTCCTTCTCGCTGGCAGTATTACAGGGGATGCAGGTGGTAGGGCTGGTGTTCTGCATTCTCCAGTTACCACCTCCTGAGGGCCATCTGTAGTTAAAAGAACCTTCCAGCAGCTCTGCTACTGCTCTAATGGAAGGTTAGGGACTATTTTCATGTAAAATTGGCCCCAAGGACTGGGGAAAAGCATGCACTACAGACCTAGACCCTTTTGTGCACATACCATTATTGTTTTCTCTCAAGATGCATGACCACATAGCATATTTTAAGAGGATTTTTGACCTTTCCAGTATTTTTAAAAGCAGAACCGTAACTCTCTTTATTGGTGGTTTTTTTTTGTTTTGTTTTGGTTTTTTGTTTGTTTGTTTGTTTTCTCTGCTTGGACGCAGAGTAAGGGTTTTACATAATGTTTCTCAAGGGATCTGTGCAATGCAGTTGTCTCTTAAGTGATGACAAATGACAACCTCACAATAAAATTCCCTGAAGTTACAAGGCAAAAATACAACATTACAGTTATGATGGGACTGACTCAGCTATTGCTTAAGGGAGATTAAAGTATTACAAGCTAAATTAATTTTGAGCCAATCTTAAGGAACAAGCATCTTTTCAGTGTATGGAAACAGGAAGGGAAGCAGCTGCTGTTAAGCTTCTTTCCCATGGTTCTTATTACTGAGCTGGATCCTTCCAAAGAGGGAAAGGAATTTAATTCTCAGTGAAGATACTATTTATTACATTTAATGTCCTTATGGTTTATGGTTGCATTTTAACACTAGAATTTCCAGTATATGACTCATATTATATTCTCTGCTTTTCTATTGTTAAACAGTCTTGTCTGCTATAAGCAAAGGTTTAAGGCATGTGATCAGACTACACAAGATAACATGACATTCTCTCTGGCCTTGAAATCTATGAACTTAAAAAACAGTTGTGAACAGCTTCAGGCCACAAAAGAGTACAAAATTACAGGTATATTTTTCGTATTTTGAATTGGTCAGTCTTAGAAATACAGGATGATAAACTAACTGTAGTCCACTGCAAAAAAACCCCTAAGACTAACATTTTGCAGAATAAGTTGCAAAAGAACAGCAATGTAAAACACGAGTGATAATAAAACATGGGCCCTAACAACCTGTTGGTTTACACTTGGTGGAATTCCAATGAAAACTAATCCACTTGCTAAGACATTGGATCAAAGCAGAACCACAAACTGCAATTTAAATGAAGCTGTAACTAAACTTGCTACAAATAACATTTACAGCCTAGTAGTATTCATGATTTATACATGAAAGTGTTTAGAACATGTTACAACTCTACACCTAAAAGAATATTGTATAGGCAGATTTATGAACTGTGCCTGTCTCAGTTTCATTCAGTGATTTCCATGAGCCAAATTTAATCCTGACACAATTTTGTGGAGCTACACCAGGATACATTATTTATATTATTAATAAATAATTCACAGAAAGTAGCAGTGCTCTGGAAATACTGTTTAGATGATTTAAAATGTACTTACTTGCACTGAAGAACGTTAACATAAAATATAAACTTGTACAAAGAACTCAAATAAATTTCAGTTTCTGAAAGGAAAAATAATCCACAACTATAGATTTTTTGAGACAATAAGCAGAAATTGCTTGCTTTAAATTTTGAATGTTCGAAACCAAATGGAACAAGCGTCAGTGCAAGGCTTTTGTTAGTTTTAAGATAGAACTTTATGAAAACTGTATATAAATTTGATAATATTGTGGACTTACCCAGTTCTGCTAAATTGCCAAATGCGACAAGGCACATCTCCGTCAGAGCTGCATTTTGGCAATGAATACCCAATAATTTCACTAATGTAGGAATAACACCCATATTGATAAGCTGTGACTGCAGAGTATCTACACAGAAAGAAAGTACAACCCCAAGTTAGCATTTCTATTTGTAGTACTATTCTTTAAACCAAAAAACATTTTTCACACAAAGTATCTTCTATGCTAAGCAGCATTAAAATGTTTGTCTCCTCTACTCTTCTACACTAGGATCGGGTCCGTACTTGAGATAGGGACTCATAATTACCCTTGCCTCTGATAATGGGACATATTCCCAGAACTATTCCCTCCTGATATGATCATAGAGTAAAATGAATTATGCAGCTACTGATAATCTTGTGGTTATCAGGTTCCTAATGTTGGGTTTGATTCTGAGACTAGCTGACTGAAATCAATCAAAACTCTGTCAGTGAAATAATTATTTATCTGAGACCTTGTTCCTATATAATAAAGATAAAAACTGGAAAATTAAAATTAGAATGACTATAAACTGGCACTGAAATAAACATGAAAAGTTTTATAAACACAGGAAGTCACAATGTAGAGTATGAGGAGCTTGAGAAAAAAGGAAGTTTAATAAAGACAAAAAAAATGGAAGGTTTAAGAAAAGTCCTTAGAAGCCATTCTGATAATTTCTTGCACAGGATGAAAGTTTATAGTATTTACAAGTAAGAAAGTTACTGCTCCTAGATGTCTGCAAATAGAAAGGTGTTTTGATGATTAGGCAGAAACATGATTGTTTTAAAGGATTATTTATAACAATATTTTTTCTTGCACATTTTACCTATAACATAGCAAAGAAGAAAAACATTGTTTCACAGTTGAACAGAATGAAGCAGACATGAACACACCAGATGTTGTTTAGTACTTTTCCTAAGCATCTTTTTTCCTTTGTTCCTAAGCACTTTATGTTTAAATGTTACAGGCTCAAAAGACAGAGATCCAAAGCCTAGTGAATTCAAGAGAACTGAACTACTTGATTTAGCTTTGGGTCAAGCCCTACTGAGGAATTACTTTTTTTTAAGGAATTAATCCTGAGCTACTGAAATCAGTTGGAGTTTTTGTATCTGTGGAATCAGAGCCATAAAAATTGTAGATTTTTGCAAGGGGTTAAAAACATATTACATCTAGTCTAGAAAATTTAGTATCATGTCATGCTCTTGGAAAACACTTTGCCTTCAAGATTCTGCCAGGCGAGTTTGAAATTGTCATGTTATAAACATTATTAAAAGATTCTGGAATGTTTTAGTTCATTGATATTCAGTGTAGAATATTTTTTCAAGAATTATCAATTTGGCACACTAAATAAGTAAATGGTATGGTTATTACAGGTTATTGAGGATAAGCAGGTATCCTTATGGCTTGACATCTTTAATAAAACTGTATTACTTACCAGTAACTGAATTTCATTTGGGGGGGGGGAGGGGTTACCTCTTCCACAGATTCGTGGTCAAGAAATTTGAGAACGCCACATCAGACATCAAAGAGCTGTTAAAGTTGTCAAATTTCAGGTAAGTACAAATTGCACTAGCGCATGCATTGAGTGCCATTTTACCTCCAGCAGATGTGTGAGTCACTACTACACCCTCCTACTTTATTCCAAACTACTGTAAAAATCTGTCTCTATAAACAGGAAAATTGGGGAGGGGGGAGCTGGAATGGTTCTGTGGAGAAAATGCTCACGTAGGAGAACTCAAGTTACTGGTAAATAATCTGGTTTTGTCCTTGGTTTGTGATTGTTCCCTGCAGACACTTAAAATTTCAGAAGGAAAACTGGTAGTCACGGAGAGTAGGAGAACAAAGACACAAACCACAAATGCCATAGAAAATTATACAGGAAGAAATTGCTTTGTTACTAGACTATGCCTTTAGTCACTCTAAAATCACTTTATCCAACTGTAATGGACAAAGAGACAATCTCAACGGGCATGATTTAGCAAAAGGTTTTGACATCAGAAGCATAAACTCTCTATTTTGAGTCTTTTGAGAAGGGTTGTTTTTTTTCCTGCTGTCTCTTTTCTTAATACAAAAGATATAAAAAGAACAGAGGAGACGACAAGTGAAAAAATGGAAACCATATCCATCTTTGAAAGGAATCTTTAAGAGCCAAATAGAAGGCTCTCTTGTTGTTCAAGAGAGCATGGAATGCACTGATTAAAGGCCTTCTAGAATTCCCAAGCAGGAAAAAAAAAGGAGTAAGAAATTATACCAAGAAAGAACAATTGTGCTAGGTCAGAAGTCAGGTACTATACCTGACTCTATACCAGTTTGATTTCCCTGGAGTAGAAGGATGGCAGGAATGGTCCACAGTGGTAGGAATGGGATTACAAGAATTACCAGTACGGGACATACTGAAGCTTTAACTGCAGTAAGTTAAAGGATAAACTTTCTCCTCTGCCAAAGACAGGACAACCCTGTGAGTCACAAAGCTGCATAAGAGGCAAAACATTTGAAAATCAAAGGCTGCCAGCAGCTACCAGCTATGTTTATACTTAAGCCTGGGCTTGCCACACAAATTCTGAACTTGTCATTTACATCTGTTGTTAGAAATTGGAGGCTGTTTCTTGAGTACATATAAGAGCAAAGTTTGTTTAGACATTGTTTAAGAGAAAAGCATTAGGCTTCTCACTGGCATGGAGACCTACAGCACTTCTGAGTTGAGAGAAATTCAGAACATTGAAGTGTTCCAGTCTTAGCTGAAGAGGCTGCCAGCAGGTCTCTGGCCGTCCTATGAAAGACAGCAGCTCAGGTAACCTGGAGTAACTGTGTGTCTCAGCCTTTCCGTCCAGGAAGTGCTAAGGGCCTACTGGAGCAGAAGACAAATTCAGGGGACACATGCATCCATCCTACAAGCAGTTGCCTGATACAGGATTGAAGTGAGCCAGAAAGCCACGCAACACTGTCTTAAGATGAAACAGCAATTCGGCTTCCTAAGCAGAACTTTATGCATAGTGAGCAGGAAGCATGAAAACCTGAAAGTCTCTTCTGGATTTATGACTTAAAGCCACAAAAGAAACTCCCAGATTTTACACTGCTGTCACATGTTGCACTAATAAAGACACCTCTGTTTCTCAGGGTGAAAAGCACTGACAGTGATGCTGTACAGATGCATATACAGGTAGATAAAAGGCAATCAATACATGCGCCAGCACAGTTACCTACCGAAAACTTGCATTTCAATGGCTCCATGTCCTTCGGTGGCACACATGGAAACTCCAAAGAGTAAGATCTAGGGAGAATATCCCAAATTGAGAACTTCATTGGGGGTATTTGAGCATAAAATGCTGATTTAGGCTAGTTCATGATTTTGGACAGAATCTCGGAAAACAACCAGTCGTTTTGTGGTCCAACAGGAACTGAGATTATAATGCTAAAGGCAAATTTGTTTTGTGCAAATTTTCAGCATCATTTTGTACCTTAGAGAAACCTGCTTGCAATCCCCACATCCATGTTAAATAATTGTATAACATATAAGTGACTGTATTGATTATCTCAATCTCATAAGCAATATACTTTTTACCTGCTTTTACGTGCTATAGATTACGTTGCATATTTAGATCTTAAAAGCATGCTAGACATCGTTAGCTGTGATGTAAATGAAACAAAAATCATGGCAAGCATGAAAATTAGCAAAGATAAGTCTCAGAAGGAAGCGTTACTGAAATATTGCTGTTAGACCAGAAAAATGGTGCCATAAATCTCCCTTTCATTTCTCGTATATTTACATAGCATCTGCAGATGGTAAACAGTGCTAATCAGTCCCTAACATTCATTTCAGTCATTAAGAATTTTATGGGAATAAGAAAGGCTTGGCTGTTGTGTGATTTAACATTAGAATGTTACATTTTTACAAAGGCACTGAAGGAAAGACAACCTTGACAGACTGACATTTAATATGAAATGAGGAAGCCATCTATAAACAACTATTTTTATCAACATATATATACCCACATAAAAATACATGTATACTTTCACACATGCATATTGTATCACATTAACTTCGGGTCTCCAGTTTGACTATCTAATAAGCCAACTAGCCTAATTCTTCCATAATTTCTGCATTTCTTTTAGAATGATTTTATGGTTTGCTTTATAAATCTCAGGAGACAATTAGCTACCATATAGACTGATCCAATTAACTTTTAAGTAGTCTTGACTCACAGGATTATGAGATCTGCAGACTAATCACATCACTAATTCTTCTATGTGACTGTTTACATCTGATTATTAGTTTTATTAGATTAGTTATTAGTTTTTCACTCCTATAGCTCTTAAGCAGATTTACAGCTACACAGACTATATGTAATGATAACAGTCTTCAGAATGGGAAAAGCACAACAACACACTGAACCCACTGAAAGGTGCCAAAACAGCTACTTGAAGCATGGGTGTGGAGTGAGTACCCCAAATCAAGTTGGCATTACAAAGAATTACCGTAGGCTTTTGTCAAGGCTTGCTTAGTTTGGGATTAAGCTATAAGCAAAAACACTCACAAAGGTGTGACATGTTTGTTTCACTCCTAGCCATATCTGCAATTTTGCATTTCAAGAAGTAATAAGGGAAAGCAGGGATGAGTTTCTGATTGAATTTGGGTAGTAAAATATGATTATCACAGAGAGAGGGTCAAGATAATCTGGGCTGAAGGCAAAGGAATGTGTTCTATCAGAAAAAAACCTCTGATTTCTAGCAGTGCAATTAAAAATCTACACTTTTGTTTTAAGTTGCAGTGAACTGCAAGAGATGCCAAAGCCAAGTTTGTTAATGTTGTAGCAACTAATGAAATGGTAAGATAACAAGGAGGCACAGGAAGAATTGAGAGACAGCAGGTAAAAATAGTTCCTGAACACAAGAAGGTGGCAAAAGAACCTTGTAAAGGAAATCTTAGTTTTAAATATCAGACAACAGTGTTATGAATGGAGTTACAACTGCAATCTGAGTGTCCAGAATCAGGACAAGATACAAGAATGCCCAATTAATTTGCTCTCTTTAGGAAAGTAAAATATTACTCATAGATGCTCTTTGCCTCTTTTTTTTTTTTAAGAAAAAAACCAACCCAACAACCTCATGGGTAATAATTCCCTATGCTAATTCAAAAACTTAAAAGAGTGAGTGTCTGATGTTAAAAAAATAACGTAGTTGATAGCTATTAAGAACAGAGTAATAGCTATAGGAAAAAAAGGGCAATTAGTTGACTGGGAATGATGAACTGTGTAGAATAAAACAATTTTATATACTCTTTGTTCAGAAAATGCTAAGAAAATTTAAAGGTTCACAGATCATTAGATGCAACTAAGAACCAAATGTGCTGGAATCTTCCTTACCTGGATAGCTAGTGAAACTTAAAAGAGTGCAAGTCATTAAAAGCAGTAAAGAAATCTTCAAAGTCCCCACCTGTAATTTTTTAACATAGCATGCTCAGCAGAAAAGATTACAGAAGCAAGAAAAAAAGAAGGCAGAAGTGCTATTTCAAAGATTGAAACACCTTCTTCTACTGATTTTTCTTTTATTTTTGTCTAGTTTGTTTTCATAACTACAGACAAAGCAATCTGGGACTCTAGGCTGCAATCCCATACTCCTCATCCTTCAGCAAATCAATGCACTGTTTACCTTAAGTAACGTGGGATCAAGCCTTTGAGAGTAAATCCTGATAATGGTTTCTGTTAATCTAGGAGCACTATTAACAGTCAGGGCGATCTGAGTTTTCCTGTTTAACAGGCCAGCAAAGAACTGCATTTATTCTGAATATTATTCACCTGATTCTGCAATGTGTGGAAGTAAGTAGTTTTCTTGGGCTCATACTTGACATTGACAGTTGTCCTGAAAATTTATGATGGTTCTCAGGTACGGTTCAATTGTACTTGTGGCTCTTAAAACTGGCAAGATAGGTCAACAACCCATCTCTCCATTCACATGCTGCAGGTACAATCACTGAGTTTTCTTCCAAAAATTTAATCCTCTACTCATTCATTATTTAAAAAATATATATATTGATTTGGCAGGTTATTTGGGTTTTAATTCCGTGGTTGCCCCAGTTGGTGAGCAAATTCATGAAGAAACTGCAGGACACAGGTCTTACTCAGCATGCCTGTGGGTGCTGGGCCAAACAGGAGGTGTTTCCCCTACCAAAAGCTCCTTTCTTGTGGAGATTACCAAGTATGTGGGGTAAGGTGAGGGTGTGGTAAACCCCCAGCATTCTTCCCTGATGCGGTTGTAGGACAGGGTCATTGGTGTGCACCCACGTCTGGGAGCAGCAGATCTCACTTCTGAGATTGCCTCAGTGGCTCCTGGGAATCTTATGTAAGTTAATTGGTTAGTGTGAGATGAAAAATTTAATTTAGCAGAGTAGAGAGCAGCTAGTGAATCTTCCTAGTTGTCACAGAACTACACAACTGCCTTACTGACTGCATCAGAATAAGCTATCTTACTAGATGGAATGAGTCATTTATTCAATGTTCCTAACAGTTAAACTGCTCAGAAGCTGCTTGTTTGGGAGATTTATCTCATAATTAGTTTTCTTAGGGAAGATCTGCTAGAAGCCTGGTCACTGAAGCAAAACTTATACAGTATCTCTACACAGAGTTTTTTGGACTCTGTTGTCCCGAGCTACCAAATACACTGGATGCTCATTAGTCTTAATTAACCTAGAGGAGTCTGGTAGCTTATAAGTGAGAATATCTATTTGCTCCAAATATTTTAATAAATAAAAAAAATACAGAGTTAATATTGAAATACAATAAAATGTGACACTCATGCAGACATCAAGCAAAACAATTCCTGAAAAATATATGGAATAAAGGAAATAGAAAGTTGCAATTTTGAGAAGAATGAAGAAGTACTGTAAGCAAGTATTCTTAGATGACACTAGAAAAAAGGACAAAAAGAATGTAAGAACAAGAGAAAGAGATGAGACACATACAACACTGATATTAGGAGACAGATAAGTAACGCTAAGAGCTGAAAGCTTCAGAGAGCACAGAAAACACACAAGGACACTATGCTAGAAGAAATGATAAAGCAGATAAAAAATCTCTATAGGAAAGGTTAAAAAAAAAAGAAAAAGTTAAGCCTATGGACCATCCTGAAAAGTAGAACAGTTTCAGGGACATAGGTTCCGAAATTACTTACAGCAAGTGATGATATTAAGGGAAGGTGAGCAGCTAATAAAAAACCTATCTCTTCCTACGATAAAACACTACAATTCAGGCAATGAGCATGACTGAGGAAACAACATGATCAGCTAACTACATTAGCAATCTATGTCATTAGAACTCAGGAGAACAGCCTCTATTTACCTTTCCTTATTTATCCCATTTTTCTTAGATTCCAAATTTGGAAAACTTGGAAATGTGTGAACGCTGTACAATATGCTTGGGCACATTACCATGCTTGCAGGTAGAAGCCAGCTAGGTACTAATGTATCAGTATGTTTGTATAACTAGTGTAGAACACTATTTTCTTATCCTCAGTGGTTAAGGATTTATCATTTAAGGTACTACCTTGTGTTTTTGTCCCCACCCCTAAACATCTCCATTTTATTTTTAAACTTTTAATTTGTAGACACAGAACTGTGTTGAACATACACATAAATTACTCCCCATCTATCTTTTAACACCTGGTTTTATATACATTTCACTGGGAGAAAAATGAGTCAGGAAAGCTGTTTGGCATACAAACCCCCGAATCATCAAAAAGACATGCCTGCATGCCTGCAGCAAACTAGTCTTATGGTGTTGTTTGATACTAAATGAAAAAGGGAGGACTTATTGTAGCCTTCTAGTTTACTTCTGTAGATGTATTTTGTTCCCTAAGGTGTATGATACATCTCCATGTACTGCTTTTGGACAAAGAAGTAAATTCCATATGTTGATTTTAAAACTTTATATAATGTGCGTTATGGAATTGCATCAGAAAGATATCTAGTGGTTTTGGGTATGTAATTTTACTAAAACAGAAAATTATATATGTGAATCAGGGAACTTGATCTTTTAAGAATAACTTAGCATCTACAATGTAAACCTACAATTGACTTAAAAATATTTTTTTTTCTTTTTTTGATGAGGTTGTTCTCCTGCTAGACATAAAGCAAATTTTTGGTGTTGTTTACCATTCTCATTGCTATAGTTCATCAGCATGCCACAAAAGACAGTCAAGAGCTTCTCACTGGCTGGATCTGTTTTACTGCACAGTGACCTTACATGGTCTACTACAATATGTGCACCACCTGCATGGTCAACTGCGTTCCTGCCCTCATCTGTAAAACAAAGAGTTACATTTAAAAAAAAATGAAACCAAAACCCACCGTAGAGTCCCAAACATAACAGTAATCATACGAAATGAAGCTTTGAAACAGAGTGAAGCCATTCCTCCAATGTTGTCAAAGTCGTCTAGAGAGATGCTTGAGGGCCAGCTTGTAGTGTAACAGAGCTAGGAAAGTTAAAACACCTACAACAAAAGGGATTAACCACCTGGCACTAACACCTTGTAAAGAAGTTCAGTGTTTGAAGCACAGCCTGTGGACCCGATAAATAATATTCTGAAGACACACTGGGTTTTGTCAGAGGGAGTTTCCAAGCCTAGTTCATATACCCTGGACCAGGTAAATCACTCTTGTGATTACTTAAAAACAAAATGAGGAATAAAATAGACACAGCAGACAGAGGTATCAGTTTCCAGTCACAAACTCTGTTCATGCTGTCACTCTGCCACACAGCATGTTCTGTACTTTAATACCACTGTCAGATTTTTTTCATGGCTAAAAAAAACCCCTCATTCTGCATCTATGATAGACTAAAGTTCTGAGGTTTTGTAAATAACATACCATAATCTTTGTACAGAACTCTCTTCTGTGTAACAAATCAGATTTGATTTATCAGTGTAGGAATAAAGGAAAAATCGGCCTTCCATTACAGTAATTGACAATGTTGCTTCCTTTCCCAGCAAGCAAACAGCAACAGACAAGAGTCTATATAACCTGAATTCCAGGGCTTCCAAAAGAAGAGATTTTCAAGTGAGTTACAGTTGGAAAATCTAGATGTGAACAAAACCTTTGGAGTGAAAATCACAAAAGCAATAGTTTTGCAAAACAATTAAAAAAAACACACCCAAAACCCCCTCTCCTCAATTTCTTTTGATATTCACTACTCTGTCGTCACTCCTCTCTCCCCTTATTCTGCAATGCATTCTGCAGTATGAAAACCAAGGCTGTCCACGTTTATGTGATGTTCTACTACAAAGTATTCCAGAGCTCTGCAAAAAGAAGTTTCTAAATCTTCCATTTCTTGTTAATACTATTTCTGAGATATATATACCCCTTACATACTATATAGTAAAATATATGTAACACTGTAAGCATTGTATATACACCTACACTATATATATTCATAAATATACATACATATGAGGGATATATATATAAGGACTTCAGATAATTTGCTGAGTGGAACTGAAGGAGGAAAGGTAAATAATAAATTTGGTGGTAAATAACAAATCAAGTTTATTATCGAAGTAATAAGTGTTTTGCAGAATAACCGAGATACACACAACAGAGGGAAAATGTCACTGTCATGGCTGTCTCCACCATGGACATGATCAGGACATCATGGGACAGCATTTTGTTCCAGGTACGTATGTTCCATTTTGAAAACTGGGAAACTGGAATCTGTTTACGGCTTAACAAATTCTAGATAAGATTCTGTGTCAAGAAAGGATTATAAGAACTGGAGAGCTATAAAATAAGTAAATCTCTCAGATCTTTGATGCAGTGATAAATGTAGGCATCATGCTGAAAGAAATAAAGTCCTGCACCAAAATATAGTGAGACAACACAGTCAGGTATTCAGGATCAGTGCTTACATTCACCAAATCAGCACAGGCAAAACCCAAACTTGGCTGGAATATTCCAGCATTCTGTTTCATGTATCCTCTTCTCCTATTTTTTATAACAATTTACGCAAATACATGATTTTGTATTTGACTCACCTGTTTTGTGAGTCAAAGCAAGTGTGCAAAATGAACCCAAATCACTGATTCTGGATCAGATGGACTGAATGTGGTCCTCAAATTACTATAATGCAATTAAAATCCACAAAGTAAAACCACAGTAAAATTGAGATAATAATCAGGTGTTAAGCTTGTCCCCGTGTCTTCATATGGCACTGCAAATAAAATGTGTAAGCGGAGAATAATATAAAGGTAAAGTCAGGTGAGGGTTTGGAAGTGAGGGTTTGGAAGCAAGGGTTTAAAAAAACCCAAAACAATTACAAGACAAGTTCCTTACCTGGATGGAATTTGACAGAACTCCACTGAAAATGACTGTGTGATAACACCTTATAACAAATTAAAATCAAACTTGTGTATCCTTTTACTTCCATTTTCTTTGGTTTGTGAAAGAACATACATCAAAAAATGCTGCATCTTTAAGTACATAGTAGTCTCTCACTTCAAATACATGACAAAATTCTTATCTGCACAGTAGTTTTATTGGGTGGATAATCAGCTTCTGCTGTACAAACAGCTAGAATAAGGCAGAAAGATCCAGAAACTAATCTCTCTCCAAGAAATGTCTCTGTCTTTATAGTATACTCAAAAGGTAGGATAATATGAACTTCAGGATCCCTCCCAATTAGGTGAAATGCTGTGCCAGCTTTAGATGTGACTACATAGGCTGGTAGTTTTGTAAAAGAGATGCCTTAATTGATGCATCTTCTTCTTTCCCATGCTGGAGCTCACCCCTGGGCAAGTGCTATAATTAGTATCTCCTGGTGCTGTCTTCTTATGCCCAAAAGGATTAACTCAGCTCATTAGTGCAGGGCCACAAAGAATCCTGTACCAGATGTAGGAGGAAAATTCTGAAGGCCCTGACTACCCACTCCAAGCTCAGGCTATGACACCCTGTTGCATCCCCAGGCACAAAGCACATTTCTGACTCAGAATGCTCCATGTACTTATTGCCGACTCACTCCTCCCTGCTCGGTCGCCGAGACCCAGATTGTGCACACAAGAATGCTCACCAAACTCCAAATCATTTACAGACAAAACAAGACCGCAGCATGTTGCCATGCCTTGTTCTTAATCTAAATAGTACCTTGCAGTTCAGCAGCTCTATGGACTCCCACACTTAATATGCTTCCAGCCTCCCAGAAGCTGTGTTGAATTTTTTTCCTGTGATCTTTTTAAATAAACACTTGGTATTCCTAAGAGATCAGTGATTGAATAGCTTAATGAGAGCACTCACATTTCTGCTTTAAAAATGCTTCACTGCAGCTCACACAGGCAAATGCTGCTGTATGGCTTTTTGTTTTAAGTACATGAAATACTGTTTAAGGATGCCAGAATGACAACAACCTAAGAGAACTGAGGTTTATTTTTTTTTTCCCTCCAAAATGTACAGTAAGGTTTATCACAGAATGAGTTATTACTTCCACAGTGTTCTTCAGCCCAGTGCAACGCAACCATCTCTAACAATTAGTGCAGTCTCTTTTTCTATCCTCAGTTACTCAGGATTGTCAGAGTTGGAAGGGACCTCTAGAGATCATCTAGTCCAACTCCTCTGCTAAAGCAGATCACCCAGACCACATTACTCAGGACTGCATCCAGGCAGGTCTTGAATATCTCCAGAGAAGGGGACTCCACAACCTACCCACTTTTGCAGTGCTCTGCCACCCTCACCGTAAAGTTTTTCCTCATATTTAAATGGAACTTCCTGTGTGCTCACAGGAGTTTTATGCAAAACTGGGTTTAATGTGGATTATCCAATTCTGCTCACATTCCCCCAGTAAACCAAGTCTTGCCAAATTTTCCTGTGGCTCAGCCATGTCTGCTCCAATGGATGCATAAGTCAAAGACCAAAATGTTTTTAATGCACATGACTGGTCGGTCTTTTTGTTTTTTCCAAGATGTGTTTGCATAATTTCTCCCTTGGGTTTTCTTCCCCAGCTTGCTAAGTCCTAAAACAAATCACGAAGTCATAAAAGTTTAACAAGAAAAAAGAATTAAAGGAGAGCTTTAAGTATTAAAACAATGTAAAGCATAAGCTATATACAGACAATGAGTTATTTTTAAAACACATGCACTAATACTTTTATGTCAGCACTGTAAGGTTATTATTTCTGGAAATATAGTTACATCAGGCAAAAGGATGTGCCATAGTAGAGGCAGGTACCAGAAAATATTTTTGCAAATAGCTTACCTAGTGCTCTTTAATCTAAACCTTAAATTAGCTTTTTTGTTTTCATACTAGGCCCTTTTTTAAATATAAAGTTTAAGCTCTGCCAATCCAAGTGACATTAAAGAAGCAGATGTTTCTCATACAGATTGGGACTAAAATATTATATATAATAGTGTTCTTTCACGATATAGAGCTGTGTCTTCACAACAAAATATCAACAGTTTCAGGCAGTTCTAAAGACTCGTCTTTTACCCAATTTTTAATTGCATTTTCAAATATATTTGTCTGGTTCTTCCATTATTTCAAACTTTTCTCTTTGTCATCTTTAATATTTAAACTACAGCTTATAAGTAATTTGTACTTCAGAAATTATGCTGGTCCTGCAACAATGCACACTGTTATTTCAGTGTGTATATGGTTAATAAACCCACAGGCTGGTAAAAATTAGGTGTCCACAATTTTGGTGATGATGTACTAATACCTAGTTAAATAATGACAAAGTAAAAGCATAGGAAATTATGTTTGGGATAGTGATGTACTGAATGACTATTTGAAAGCTTGACCATTTTTCTCACAAAAAATGTAAGGTATGAACAGCCCATATTACCTTTGCATATCATATATTCTTATAGTGATGTCCACAGGGCCACTGCTTGCCAAACAATTCTTTGCTAAATCTTTGTGGCTGTATCTTCACCATGGAAGGTGAATTTGCTGTTTCACAGTAGAATTTTATATGTGATGATTTTTCTCAGTAGTGGCCCTGTATTGATTTGCAGACTCAAAATGCAAAAAAATAGATTTAACCTTTAAAAAGCACCAGAAATCCCAAGTTACCATGTTGTTACAATGATTATTATATATGTAGGTTACAAAATATGCCAATTTCTCAGACAATCAGCTAGAAAACTATTTTACAACATTTCTTAATAATTATCTTTTGGGCTTAAAATTTAAGATTTGTACTTTGGAATGTTCTAGCTTTGTCTTACAACTGGAAACCTGAATTATTTTTTCTCCAGTTCATGTTCTACGTAAGTTTATTGGTGTATTAATAACTGCATTAATGTAAGTGGCACAACTCA